CTCATTTCACATGCTAGCAAAGTTATGCTCAAAATCCTACAAGCTAGGCTCCAGCAGTATGTAGACCGAGAACTTCCAGAAGTACAGGCAGGGTTTCTAAGAGGGAGAGGAACTAGAGATCAAATTGTGAATATACGCTGGATCATGGAAAAAGCTAGGGAGTTCCAGAAAAACATCTACTTCTGCTTCATTGGCTATGCTAAAGCCTTTGATTGTGTGGATCACAACAAATTGTGGCAAGTTCTTAAAGAGATGGGAGTACCAGACCATCTTATTTGTCTCTTGAGAAACCGATATGCAGGTCAACAAGCAACAGTGAGAACTGGACATGGAACCACTGATTCGTTCAAAATTGAGAAAGGAGTTCAGCAAGGCTGTATACTGTCACCCTGCCTATTTAACTTATATGCAGAGCACATCATGAGAAAGGCGGGGCTAGATGAATCACCAGTTGGAATTAAGGTTGCTGGGAGAAATATCAACAACCTCAGATATGCAGATGATACCACTCTCATGGCAGAAAGTGAAGAGGAACTAAAGAGCCTCTTGATGCGGGTGAAGGAGGAGAGCGCAAAAGTTGGTTTGAAACACAACATTAAGAAAACTAAGATCATGGCATCCAGTCCTCTCACTTCCTGGCAAATAGATGGGGAAGAAATGGAGATAGTGACAGATTTTATTTTCCTAGGCTCCAAGATCACCGCGATGGGGACTGCAACCAAGAAATTAAGAGACGCTTGCTCCTGGGGAGGAAAGCTATGGCAAATCTAGATAGCATACTAAAAAGCAGAGACATCACCCTGCCAAGAAAAGTGCGTATAGTCAAGGCTTTGGTTTTCCCAGTTGCAATGTTTGGCTGTGAAAGCTGGACCATATGGAAGGTTGAGCACCGAAGGATTGAGGCCTTTGAATTGTGGTGCTGGAGGAGACTCCTGCGAGTCCCCTGGACCGCAAAGCGATCAAACCGGTCAGTCCTAGAGGAGATCAACCCTGACTGCTCTTTAGAAGGCCAGATACTGAAGATGAAACTCAAATACTTTGGTCACCTAATGAGAAGGAAGGACTCCCTGGAGAAGGGTCTAATGCTGGGAACAATAGATGGCAAAAGAAGAAGGGGACGGCAGAGAATGAGGTGGCTAGATGGAGTCAATGAAGCAGTTGGTGTGAGCTTAAGTGGACTCCGGGGGATGGTGGAGGACAGGAAGTCCTGGAGAAATGTTGTCCATGGGGTCACGATGGGTCAGACACGACTTCACAACTAACAACAATTGTAATTTGCAAAAACCAAACGAGAACAGCACTTCAAATGTTACCAGATTACTTCCTTCAGGGAAAAAAAAGACTTTTCAGCCACCCTTTATTTGAGATGCTTGGGTGGTTTGAAATAGACTGGCAAAGCTTCCAGACTCCCAACTGTTTAACAACTGCAACAACAAAATGCTTGTCCCACCCCAAATAAGCCTACCTAAATGAAGAAAGTATAAGGAAAAGCAGGAGTGGATTTTTGAGTGTGAAAAGGCTGTGAATTCATTTCTGACAAGGGGCTGGTTCACACATACAGAGGCGTGCATAAAGAACACTGTTCCAAATGAGAGCCATCATATAGCTCAATTATTATAATTCTCACAATAATGTCTAAGTTCCATGCCACAGATGTTCAGATGTTACTAAAATTTGGAAAGGGAAACAAACAAACAAACAAAACCCCTTAAATTCTCTGCTCTTTGAGCCTAAGGGGTGGAAGAGAGACCAAGACAATTATCTCTCCTGACTCAGAAATATATTTCTTACTCTTTAAAATACCAGGTAATAATAAAGCTGTTTCAATCTACCATCAACATAATAAACATTTCTAGGCAGCCTAGAATTACTACCCAGAGTTTGCTATTTTCATGTACAACTAAGAAACTCTATTAATTACCAGATATACATCAAGATGACAGTGCGCCACCAAAGGCCTGGGTGACTAATGAGGTTTAAGACACCAGGCGCTGAGTCATCCTTTTTAACTGTTCCTTTGCACTGTTTCAGTTTCACAATCAGTCTTTCCTTCCCATTTCCAAGAGCTATGTACTGTAGCACATTCTCCGCTTCTGCAGCTCTGCCTTGGGAATATAACCACCTTGGTGATTCTGGAAGCATACTGAAAAGAGAAACACCCAAACAGAAATCTTTTGCCTGCCCAAATGCTTCATCTATGCAGATTCTAATAACCTACATATTAACACAAGTGTCTGTCAATTATGGAGCCACATGGATTTGTTTTTAAACCTTGGCAAAAGCTGCCGAGCCTAGAAGGCAAGTAAAAATCCAAAACATTTCCTAGAATGTAGAAATGTGCTGTTTCTGGAAATGCTGGAACTGGGGCGACAATTTCCCATTAGCACTCTTTACTAAAGTCACTCAGGTAGCATGGGAGCTTTTCTCAACCCCATTTGTCTGTCATTGTTCCAACTGCTACTGTTTTGCAAACTATCCATATTTTACATGGTGTACTCATATTCAGTTGTGACCCAAAGCTAATGCTGCACTGCCATAAACCAACATTTGTGCAACGAAACCAGCACCTGCTCATGCAACTGGGGAAAGAGACTGCCAAAATCTGCCACTTTTCCCCTTGCTCTACCAAGCACTATTTCTGTCGCACAACCAATGGTTCTACACTTGTGCAACATCAGTAGCACAGGTGCTGTGACACAGTTGGATACTAACCAAGGCTTCCAATTATATGAACACATCTTTATTCTTTCTTGGTCTATCTTGCCAAATGCAGATATACAGTAAGCTTGAATCCTAGAATAAATCAAGGCACCACCATAAAATGTCTAATCAGTTTATTGCCACCTTGGCCTCTACTTGTGGTGCCTACAAATAAGCAAAAGCTTTTGTTTCATGTCTTTTGTATACAGCAATGTCTTGTTATTAAGTGACTGTTTGAGTCGGCTAATCAGTAGCAGTGCAATACAGACAATTATTTCTTTTAAATATATGCTCTGGCAATGTCTAGTAGTTGCTTCTTTTGGGGAGGAGGTTATTACAAAGATGAATTTTGTATCGGAACAGTCTTTAACATTTACTGATCCACACATTCTTTATATCATTTACCGGCTTCATGAAAATTAACAAATGGTCAGCATAAGTAGATACTCCATGCCTTTCTGGCAGCTAACAGAAAAAGACATACATTTCCTTCTATAATGCAATGGACTAAGAATCTTAGAATGTTTTCATTGTATGAATGGATGTCATATAAATGCCACCTTCAAATGCATACTTATTTGGATACTTGGACTATTTATGTTGAAGCCTATGAATAATGGTTAAAATGCTGTATGCATTTCATACTAAACCATGTATGTTTATTTAAAAATAGGATTTTAAACATTTGAAATTAACATATCACACATCTGTGAGTACCACACTGGGGATGCTTTTGTGGGCACCCCTCTTTGCAAACATTTCCAAGGGCACTGCACTGAGGACCCTGACTTAATCTATCTTACCATCCATCACTAGTTTTGGTTCAGATACACTTTGGGTTTAGTAGCTGCTTAACAACGTAATAGACATAAAATTCTACTTACAAAGAGAGAAGAAAAAAGAAAAGTCCTGGAGAATTTGATACAAAGGCAAGTAAACGCCACTCCCTTATATAATAACCCAATAAGGCATAAATTGCTATGCCAACTGCAAATGTCAAATTTGTTAATGAGCCTGAAAACAGAAACAAAAAAGAAGTTATTTCATTAAATACCAGATTAGTACATCAGATATATCAACTTTTTGCATATAAATGTAATTTGGATTCAGTTCTGTGACTGCTAGACAAATTCTAAATGGCTGCTAATGAATGCAGAGTACCAGCTCTGACCTCCAACATGTTCTGAGATTGGAGCTAGGACTCCAGCTTCAGAGTGCTGTCCCTCTGCCCTCACAAAAGTGACCCTGGAGACCCATTTTGTGGGTGCTGCAGGGCAGGTGGGGAGAGGTAAAAATAAGAACTGCCAGCATACAGAAGACCCTGGCGGCACCTATGTCTTCTGTCCTTGCAGTCCAGGGCAAAGGCTAACTCTTTTGCAGGGCACCCTTTGCCTCTACACTTGTTCTGGCATCCATAGGATGCCTGTAACCTCCAAGCTCAGACAGTTAGCCTAATTAGCTCATGCTGCTCTTAAAGAAGAATCCGAACCAGTTAAGAGTCTTCATGCATACACTACAGTTCCAAAAGTTTAAGTGACTCCAATTGGCAACAGTCAAAATGCTTTGCTTATCACATTCTTTGAGGGGAGGGGGTGTTAACAATATGAAAGTTGGTATTTTCACTTTTCAATACATCAACAGTTAATATTCCCCCTCCCGCCCCCCATTTAGGTTTTCACCTGTCTTCTTTACACTATCTTATAGAATCATAAAGTTGAAAGAGGCCTAGCAGGCCACCAGATTCAGCTGCCTGCTCAGTGCAGGAATCAAGTCACCCATCTGGATTTCAACCCAGCCCAACTCTGCTTAGCTTCCAAAATTAAGCAGAATCAGGCAGTTTAGGCTAGACTTTTCTGTAATAGTATCCCAACTGTGGAATGCCTTGCCAATGGAGAATCATCACCCACTTACTTTGCTGCGTTTTAGGCACCTGACAAAAACTTTTTTTTGACACACCTATGGTTCTACTTAAATTATCTATACTGATGGTACTCATTTTAATTTTAACTTCATTTATTAATTTTATTATTTGGCATTTGTCTGATTCTATACATTATGTTTTATTTTGTTTATTTAATAAGTATTTTAAGTGTATTATTTAGTTAATGTTGTTATTGATATTTTTATTGTAATGCTCACCCAGAGAACAAAAAGCCAATGGTCAGTTTTTATACAAATACAATAAATAAACAAACAGAAGCTCTGTAATTAAAGAATGAAGGTTTCACATACATATAAATTGCAAAAGTAATAGCTACATAGAAAATATAAATTTAACATTTTTAAAAATGAAATGGTGGTATCAAGGATTTCTCTTTGTTAGCTCACACTGGCTTTACACTGGATCACATTAGTCTGCATATAAGTCAAGTAAACCTCTCCATATTAATTGGAATTTATTTTCTATTAGTAATATTCCTTTTAACAGGTTGGTAATGTCAATATATTGTGAATCCTTCTGTGTATATCGTATCTTATTCACTATTTTATCTTCTCCACTTTTTTAAATCTTAGGAAAGGAACATAGCACATTAAGCTGCTTTAAGAAATTAGAGTAATATTGTTTATGAGCACTTATTTAAAAGATAGGCAGCTGAAGAAAGAAAAATGAAGCACGAGCAACAGATATAAGCAGGAAAAAAGATGAGAAAAGTAAATGCTATCATCAATGTTTTTGTGCATGCTCTGAACTATTAGAAACCCATTTTCTGAAGTTATCAACATTTCAATTCTAGCTGCATTTATAGGTGGAAGATCCCTCTAATATCAATGCAACACAAGGGTTTACTTCCAACTAAACATCCACAGGGATTGTGCTCAAAGTTTCCATATCCAAAGTAAAGGTAAAGGTTTCCCCGTGACATTAAGTCCAGTCATGTCTGACTCTTGGGGACGGTGCTCATCTCTGTTTCCTAGCCGAGGGAGCCAGCGTTTGTCTGCAGGCAGTCTCCGTGGTCATGTGGCCGGCATGACTAAACACCACTGAAGTGGTACCTTTTTATCCACTTGCACTTGCATGCTTTCGAACTGCAAGGTTGGCAGGAGCTGGGACGGAGCAACGGGAACTCACCCTGTTGTGTAGATTCAAACCGGTGACCTTTCGCTCAACCAGCCCAGCAGCACAGCGGTTTAAACCACTGCGCTACCTGCATCCCTTATAGCCATAGTACTGCAACTTTAATAAGATGCCATTTGGGCTTTCAGAATTTTCTGAATAACATCTATCTTTCAAGTGAATTTTGGAAGAGCAAAGTGTTTGTAATCTATTCTATGCATTGTTAAACTATGCTAGAGACCATCAGGGCAGCTCAAAGTGAACTTCAAAAGCCTAAGCTTACAGAGCTTCCAACGCTGCTGTCATGCCAACACATCCGTCATCAACACTATTGTCAGTGGCTTCCTCTCTTTGCCAAGTTTTAATCAACTGTGTCAGCCTGCTCAATGGTGGAGAGATTCTGAACAACACAGCACCTGAAGGGGCAGGCAGCAGCACAAAGCAAAGTGTATCTTCAACCTCTCAAGGGCCAGCTCTACCGGAAAATGATAGGTGAACCAAGGCAGCCAAACAGGAGGGAGACACCATGAAGGGAGAGTAGCCAGAAAGCATCAGGTTGAGGAAACAGGAATAGAAAAATGGGAAGGGGCATTTAGGAGAAGAAAAAAATCAACAAGAGAATGAGAACACAGCACCGTTCATTCCATTAAAGGTGAGCCAGACACAGCACGAAGGGGCAAGAGGAATAGTACAGAAGTGAAAAGCGAAAATAACTTAAGACCATGTTTTGTTTACAGCTCACCATGATGGTATAACTGAAAACCATCCAAACCAAGAAAACAAGTTATCAAGCCCCCCTGCTGGTTCAAATGTCTATGCATGCTGTCTTTTGATAGCTCATAACTGAAAAGCAGAGTACAATATGGAAAAGGCTTGAACATTACTGTCCGATCCAAGGTGGCTCAGGCTTCACATGCACATGTTGATATTGATCCTCAAGGTATCTAGTAATGAGCACGAGTGAGTGAACTGACCCTAGAACAAATGCTTTCTTCATCAGTGTTCATATATGGGACAAGATCATAGGCCTTCAGGCCAGGTCATATACTTAAATAATTCTACACAGTATCTAGTTTAAATGGGGTATGAGGTGGGGAGAAAAGAAAATTTGTAGGGTAAAAAATTATGTTGGGGGAAGAAAATGTGGGAGGGGATCCTGCCATTTCCTGTGCTGCTCAACAACAGAACTATGACTGACTATTAAGAGTAAGGGAGTAAAAAAGGTATTTTGTAAATGATGTTTCTCACAGCAAATAATTGATTCTAAACATTTTGAGACAAGTCTAAAATGCTTACTATTCTTAACTGAGCATATGGAGTCTAGTTCTCCTCTACGTACACAAGTTACTCAGCCAAAGCAGAACTAAGAACACTGACCCATTCTTACCACAAAGATTTACAGAACAGAGGAAAGGGTATATTTTCCCAGAATGGTAAGAAACACATTTTGTTCAAAGGATCAAGCCTGAGTTCTCATATCTTACCTGTCAGTGCCCAAAAGGATTTTCCTACATATTCTTGTGTCAAAACAAAAGCCACTAAAGACATACCACCATTTGTAATTCCAACAAAAAAGCGTGACATTGCAAAAACTTCATAGTTTGGAGCAAATGCCGAGACATACCCAAAAATGACATCAAAGAAAAGACCTGCACAAAATACATACCATAGGAAAACATTACTTGTTATAGTGAAATCCTATGCATATCTACTCAAAAGTGTATGTAGGTATAAAAAATGAAAAATTATAGAAAGGGGAAAAATACCCTTAATTCCACCCAAGTAAAAGACCATGCAGGATTTTTAATATCTTAAAATATAAGTAAAGCCATATTCAGAAATATCTAATACCTTCGAGTAAAACCAGGGCATGAAGACTGTGTAACTATTACTATTAATTTAACAAAGACAAAATATGCAAAGTGAATGCAGCAGAAGATGTTGGAGTTCTGGTCAAGTTTGTTGCTGTTACATGCAAATGGAGACAATTCCCTAGTAAAGGTACATAGGATACCACAGGCACACAGGAAATATAGCTAAATATATGCATATCAAACATTTCCTAATGAGGACACAAACAACCCATAAGAAGCCTAATCATCTGTCATGTGCACTACAGGTTGCACACACAACCACCAACCCACCATGACTTACTGCCAGGGTCAGTTGAAGAGACATGCAAACACACCCAACGTAACCTGGGAGGCTTTAAAGTATCCCTAACATTAAATTTTACTGTTGCACTAAAATACATTTTTTCTAATATGTAGTACTGATGGCACATTGGCCATGTTTAATTTTGCAGTTTTGGTTTCTAACTGCATACTTCTATAGAGTAATGCTACAATGATGTAACTTTATAATTTGAACGCTATAACTTATAACTAAAAAGCCAGTGTGGTGTAGCGGTTAAGAGTGAAGGACTGGGACTCCAGTGACCTGGGTTCTAGTCCCCACTCAGTCATGGAGCCAACTGAGTAACTCTAGGCCGGTGACAGACTTTCAGCCCAACCTACCCCACAGTGTTGTTGTTGTGAGAGTACAGGAGGAGGAGAATTATGTAAGCTGCTCTGAGTTTGTTATAAGAAAAAAAGGCAGGATATAAATCTAATACATACATACATACTATCAGTTGCCAGAATGGAACTATGCAAAGAAGTCTTGCCAGAGACACATTTTCCCCCATAATCTTACCTGTTAGATACACAGGCTTCCTACCCAGTTTATCTGACAATGGGCCAAACATCATATTTCCAATAAGCAAGCCAGCAAAATACAAGGATGATGCCAGGCTCACCTTATATGCTTCATGTTTGATTAAATACCACTGTTGGAAACAAAAAGAAACTTTTTTTCAGTTAAAATCGAGTAATAAACAGCCATTTATTTAATCTCAATGATTTGACGGATAAACTAGACATGATAGAAGCAGGTCTGCATGTCAAGATCAAGCTGCTCCTAATTCCTTACAGAACTCTCTGAGCTGATAAGGAAAAAAAATGGGGGGGGGATCCTGAATGCCTTTTCTGTCCATGCTAACTCACATATACTCCCCAAACTGCTGTTTCCCACCCAATTTTCACCCAAGACCAGGAGTAACACCGAAAAGGATAAAATCAACTTGGCCGGTACATTTTTTGGTGCGGGGAGGAACACACAGGGAAGCGTACATTGCCTTCTCTTGTCTCCGAACTTGCCTCACCCCCACTTTACAAGAGACAGTCTCAACAACTCATATGCTGACACATGGTTTGTGGTGTATCAATTAGTACTTCTTGCTCCCTTCCCCAAATACCTTATTAGACAAATTAAAAGTTTGGGGGAAACTTGAAATTTAAAAGGCAAGTTTTAATGGACTGTCATTGCCAAGCACTTGATTGCAATGCATTTCTATGTGACATGACATGCAACAATGCAAAAGGGCTGGAAACAAACCAAAAGGGCAGTAACAGGATTAAACAAAAGGAGTGGGAAGAATTCTTCTACAACCCCCACACTCAGAAATCGTCTCAAGAGGGAAGCACATCCACCCAGAGATCTCAGACCCCTGGAGGCACAGAAGAGCTCCCTGATCTGGAATACATTTTGGAGGTTTGTGTAAGGAAGAACTGCAATCTGACAGTGGTAACTATGGTAACTAGCAAAATATCAAGCTGAATTCATAAGGGCCACTTGTTTAAACAGCTGTCCCATGTATCCCAATGTAATTCTAGGCAGCCAGAAATTCAGAGTATCTGATGAAGTCCTTGAATATAGTTTAGCCATCAGTAAAAAAATGTATATTTTACAATCGACTGTTATTCAAGTTTGGGGAGTGGAGGGAGAAACGAGCTAAAAGGACCGACTTTGCTTGACATAAAAATGCAAGTGGCATAACATCACCCCTCTAATTCATCCTTTTAGCTATCTTGTTTACCTTTGTTACAAGTTTAGTTCCTCATCTAACATTCTTCTTAGAACTGCAGTTCTTAATTAAATAAAGCTCCAGTATGAGCCTTTCGTTCAGTTTACAACTGCAGGGGATTCAACTACAGCTCTTAAGTGTGAAAATCCCCCTCACTGATGAAATAATTTAAGGGAAATGGAAGGACTGTTATAAGTTTCCTAGGCTTTTGCCAAAGAAATATAGGAACCAGCTTTCAAAACTTAAAATGTAAAATAGCATTACATTTCACAAGTTTTAACATGCTTACTTTTGAAACCATTTTGAGTTGAGGGAAAAATATTAACAATGTAAAGGATACTAACAACATAAATTTATGTTTTGTGAGCTCATTATACCTTCAGACCACTGGCAAGTTCTTGAATAAGAATGTAAAAAAACTTATGACAGGTCCAAGATTATCTCGCTTATAAATAATACATGTGTAACTATCAGTATCGCATGAATAATATTTTATGAGTTTTCCAGCAGAGCCTTTTTTAACCCAAGTGAAGTGCAATGTTCCAATGTTCCAGACCATCATAAGCACTTCCACAAATACATCTGCAGAAGCAGAAATTTTATTACTTTATAAATCACCAAGCAGTGTCTCAGTCCCACCATTCCAGTTTGCCAGAATGTAATGCATAGAAAGTTATGCCTAAAGAACGTAAACATATTACATGGCTAACAGTGGAGCATGATGGGAAGAAAGCAGAAAAAAAGACACATGTTTTTAGCTGCTTAGGGTACAATTTCAATCAATTGCCTCTTGGATGATTGCATAGACTTTTTTATTTCTTCATCCTCAGAAACGGCTGAAGTGTAGATTTGCATTATGGTTATAACTGATAGATTTTCCACAAATTCTGATCGATAATATTTGGCTAAACTTTCCATTATACCCTCTTACTGCCTGACCTGCAATCTTCCCTCAGTATCATAACCACTCCATTCTTTCTGAGTTTGTCATTTCCAGAACAAAACACTAAATGTCCATTCTAGTCCATTTTAGTTTGTTCACACCAAGTACTGCAATGTACATTCGATTTCTTACTTTACAGTTTCCAGTTTGCCCTGATTCGTATTTCTCACGTTCCATGGATATATACATTGTGTAGCATCAGACATTCCTTTTGCCTCTGCACATGTCAGCCCCTAAACTTCTTTTTGGCTTTGATGACACAATTGGGTTACAATGCTATTCATACTTGTCCAGTGCATTTCCCCAATAGCCATTTGAGTGCCTTCTGACGTGGGAGTCTCGTCTTCTGACACTATTTCTGGTTTCATTTTGGATTGTTTCATCATAGGATTTAAAACATAAGAATATTCAGTAGTGGTTCACTATTGCCTTATTCTGTGTAGTACTAATCAGAGTTGGAAGACTAGAAACCTACTAGAAGGCTAGACTACTGAGGGAGTCTGGTCTCCTGGAGGCATTGCTCTTGACTTCCCTGACATGCTCAAACCCTGTCACCACATTAAGGTGTGCATCCAAGAGAGGGATATTAACATTTGTGGGTCTTAAAAACCTGGGAAAACAGAAATATTTTTGCCTAAATGATAGCAATGATGGCATTCCAAACGGAACAAGCACTATTAAGAAGCCCACCAGAGTACAAATATCAGGGATACCTGGAGAAGGCAGTCCAACAGGTATTGGAGTTCTAAGATAAACAGGGTTTTAAGATTAAGACGAGCAATTAGCTCATGTATATACAGGAAGACATGGAGTTGTTTCAATACAAGTGAGGTAAGATTTCTTTCCCTTGGCTCTTATCCTAGCTTTAACATTCTGGACTAGCTGCACATTCCAAAGTATCTTTAATGGCTACCCAGTATAAAGTGTTTTTTCAGCAATCCAACACTGAAATTGCCAAGGTGCGGATAACTGTGGCCAGACGTATCACAAACTATTTTTGAAACTCACCTCAGTTTCAAAAGTGAGTTTGCTATATGGCATGGGTGGGGGATGCTCTTTGAAAAATGTATATACAGAGTCACTCAGGTAAATGATATTGGATGTCTAATTCTTTGGTTCCTAGTCTAAAAATAAAGATGAAAACTGAAAACAGAGATTCAAGGACAAACGATAAACAGCAAAGGATGTGTAAAATGCCAACAGCGATACTGGACTGCACAAAGAGAAGCAGACTCGTCAGGCACGCAAGATCTTACAATATAAAAAATTTAACAGGTGGACTGAGCAACAATGTAGCACTTCCACTACCTAAGGATACAAATCATACTGTGATAGATTTTATGTCTTACAGAATTAAAAGTAACCATTTAATTTAAATATTTTTCTCAAAGTCAAGGCAAGACATAACATTTTGAATTATAGTTATTTAATAAAAGAAGAAATACTAGAACCATGAAGAGTTTTTAAGCTAGAGGCCTGAGAACTAGTTCAAGTGATTTCTCCTTTATCAGCAAATTCCATGACCTCATTTAAAGAAGAAATACAAAATGCACATAAATCCAACATAAGCATTTTTCTTCCAAGGTTTTAGAGGCAGCATTCTACACTGAAGCCATATGGGTGAAAGAAGAAACCTAATATGTAGAAAATGTTCAGTAACAGCAACGAAATGTACTTGCCTCTGTTGCTATGGACGTGAAGTTACTGACAAACCTGACATGTTTTGCAAGGGCTTCCGTATTAGCTGGAGTCCACTCTTCATCCAGATTATATTCTGGCACTGCTCCCACTAGCACAATAAGCATTGATTGAAATGCCACAAACACCTTAGAAGTAAAATAGAGAGAGTTTATTAGCTTCAACTATCATATAAATATATATGTCAGGTCACAAGAGGATCCCACTCTAGTGTGACTGGAAAACAAAATCCACAAGTTGACTATGTAGCCAGAAGAACAGGACATAAAGTAAAATGAAGGGAGCTTAGCAAATATATGCAGTTTTGTCACTCCACTTATTCACATATACAGGACTGGTCTTTATGTACCCCATGGGTCAAAGTAACGCACGGCTTTTGGAAACATTCTCAGTGAGGGGCAAGGCTGACCTCCATCCAATGCTTGCTAGACTGGCCCTCATTGACATGAATGGGTTTTACTGCATCTCTGTCCAAAGAGTAGAGGAGGCAAAGTGCAAGTTCCAGAAATACAATAAAACTTTTTTCTGAACAGACATACCTACCATCATAATAATGAGCATTTTGAAAATATTTAACAGGCATTTTTAGCAACAAATAGGGCAAGACTAACATTATTCCACCGGCATAGAGTAAAAGCAAGCACATTTACTATGAAGTAACTGGAATCATATGTAGGATCATATTTGGCTATTAAGAAATGTCTGAATATTTAAATTTGTAGAATGTAATATCTAATAGGAGAGCAAGTGTGGTATAGTGGTTAAAAGGCATGGGACTGGACTCAGGAGATCCAGGTTCTAGTTCCTGTTCAGCCATGGAGCCAACTGCGTAATTTTGGGCCAGTAGCAGACTCTCAGCCCAACCTACCTCACAGGATTGTTGTGGGATTAAGACAGAGGAGGAGGAGAATTATGTAAGCTGTCTTGAGTTGCTTGAAAGGAAAAAGGCAGGATATAAATATAATAAACAAATGAATACAATATTCAATCTGATGACCTTTTGGTTACCAAATTCAACTGCTGTTAAATCAATTTATACTAAACATATAATCTCACTTTATTGACTGTTAAAGGAACTGAGTTAAGTTTATGAATAATCTTTAAAATAAAGGCCCCAGTCATGGAAGCAGTAAGAGGCCATATTTCAGAGTCATGACATCAATGTTGTACTTTGCATCTTGGCTTCAATTACTACACCTCATTTCTACATAACTAATTGGTGTGGTTGTTAACAACAGTGGAATTCAAAATGCACACAGAGGGTAACCTAGCAGATATCTACTGATCTGAGCCAAAAATGCAACATTTGTGCCAGTATAGTTAATAATTTATTAATATTACTTTGAGCAGTACAACCTGTGAAAAGAAAGATGAGAAAGATCAAATCTGCCTATCTTTTCACTGAGGAAAAACAGCACTTCTGAAAGAATTTGTCCATTGTTAGTTGTCGTTTGATGGGATTGAGAGGGCGGTGGAGGAGAACCTGTCATTAACATTCAAGTCTGAATTTAACTACAAAAATATATAGCCCTTCCACAGTTCAAATATGCCCACAGGTTGGCTTCCCATCAGGTACAACAGAAAGGAGCAAAAAAATAGAAGTATATCCCATTGATCATTCTAAGGTTCATTCTTGCTGCCTCCACTGCAGAGATACACATAAGCTGTATGTATATCTTAGAGATCAAGACCCTGAATCTGGATTTGAGAGCCTTTCTTGTACAACTGCATCTCCATTCATTAATTTACTTATTAATTCAAGAGTCCTGCATTCAAGAGTGATTCGCCATACTCAAGAGTGTGAGCACGAATGTATGCTATGCAGTTGACTCAACTGCCATTTACATGCATCCAAGTTACACTGATTTAGAAAATCTGCACATAAGTGAAGCATGCTTGGGTTGTGAGGATTCAAATTAAATAACAAATCCATGAAGCCAGACTGTAACGTGCAAACTGTGCATCTACAGCCTAAATTAAATGCTGGCACAGCAGCATGGGAGCTCTTCCCATGGTGTGGTCCCATGCTGCTCAAGTAACATGTAGTTAGAAGAACCACATGAACAGGATGAATTACTTAGTTCTTGGTCAGTGCTGGCAAACTAATAATTGCTAACTCCCAAAATGGACTTGAGATATTGAAAACAACAACAATGAAACAGGAAAGCTTTTACCAAGATTTTAGTCCATCTTGAAGGCTGCCGAAAAAGCTGCATTTTTGAAACAGAAACCACTGCAGTGTAAATAACTGTACAAAAACTGTATATCAGTTGTTGTTGTTTACATGGGATGACTGTACATTTAGGAAGGCTTACTTCTCAGTAATAGTGTAGCCAGAATCTTGCCTGTTAAACAGGTAAATGGGGCTCAGTTCTCTAGTTGGTTAAGTCCTGCCTCTGGAAAGAAATATAGTTCAATAGTGACACACATGCTTTCTCTACAGATATTCTCAGGATCAAACACTTACAATTCCTGTTTTAAAAAACCAGGTAGTACATGATGGGAAGGCTTCCACCTGAGACTCTACAGCAGGGGTCTCAAACTCAACTTACCTGGGGGCCGCTGGCAGTAGAGTCTGGGTGAGGCTGGGCCGTATCAAGTATGCCACCGCCGCGGTGGGGGTGGGCCGCTCATCCAGAGGCCGGCCAGGGCGCCGCTGGCGCTTTGAAGGCCGCAGGGCCTCTCCCCCGTGCCCCGCCCCTCCCGGCAATCGGCCCGCAGGCCGCGAGTTGGAGACCCCTGCTCTACAGAACAGAATGCACTGGGCTAAATGGAAAAATAATCTGACCTGCTATATAGCAAGAAGTTATACTCTTACATATCTGATTCCCTAGCCACATTCTGACCTTATAAGGCTGTAGCCAAGCACTTCTCCACACCACACTTCAAGGGAGAACTCAGGCTTACTGCAAACTAGGTTTTCTGTGCCAAAGCTAGTGCATGACAAGAGAGGAAGGAAGGAGGACTTAACTCCAGCTTTAGAAAGCATGCAGCTTTAAGAAGCTGTGGACTAACATCCAATTGTAGCCACTACGCATACACATGTTGGAAAGCCATAACTACCTACAGCTTTTCAAATCCTAAACACTATACATACACATAGCTATTCATCTTATATGATGATCTGCAAATGTTTTCCATGTTTTCACCAAATGGAACTATATTTACATTCTGCACAAAGTGATTTACAGGTAATTCAAGCTTTTGAAAACTACAGAAACAATGGTTTGGGTGGATCATAATCTTCATAGACCAAATAGCAAACAAACCCTATGATACATTGCACCATAAATGAGCAACAAGCTCAAACATTCTCTCCACTTTCTCCTTCCTTCCTTTTATGTGCAAGGTGTGCTTAAATGAAAAAGAGAAAAGAGGCAGAGCTTGATGAAGTTGTATTCTGCTCCAAAACCCAGTTTGTTGGACTGGATGGCCAAAATTTGACCAAGATTCTAGTCATCACCTTGGGAACAAAAGATTTAAGAATGACCTAAATGAAGTTGCAGCATTGCCCATAAAGTCTAAAGGGAAAAAAGGGGATTTAAAACCATGTTGTATCTGTTAGGTGTATTATTTTGTTCACCAATCATAATTTTGACATTTTGAGGTTTTATAGCAAGTTTATTCCTTTCCATCCTTTATAAATTAAGAAATGATGGATATGTTAATGTTAACTTTGCTCAGATAATTTTGTAAAATAATCCTTATTATTAGATGTCAGGGCAACTACACTATTATTTTTTCCAAGCCTGAAAATAAGCACACTAATCTACAATATTCCTTTGGCACATTCACTGAATAGCTGAAGCTTCCAAATCCCATTCAGGCTTCTTATTGCCCTAACAGGTTATTCTTGGCTACCTACAACCATAAAGAAAGCCAGTCTTGTGCAGGGACTAGAGCCCTGGTCAGCTAATTTTTGCAAGAGGACATCTTGTGAAGTGAGTTTAACCATAATTCGCAAAATGACCTGCTACCAACTCCTGTGCTCCCTCTAATGCATCTGGGTTGCTACCTGAGAGTTGCCAGTTAGATTCTCAGGTGCCAATTTAGCCCAGAAATCTCCAGTTGCAGATCCCTATGCTGAAGGAACCCTAAACACAAATACCCGCCCTAAAATGTGTTGTGGAAGAAGTTAGGCTGTGTGCACCAGTTTCTTGGCCAGAACCAATGTCTCTGCTAGTTCCTTGGCTCTCAGACCACCACACGCTTAGTGAAAGCCTGAAAGAGGAGCCTATGTGAATATTCTGAAAATAGAGTTAGTGAGGACATTTGTGTTGGGGAGGGACCAAAACATCTGGCCTCTGTACATTCCTTGTCTTTTGTTAATAGGGCTACTGTTGTGGGAAACCCTGGTTTCTCACAACCTACAGTGTTTATCTCACAGGGTTAATGCAAAAGAAAATGGAAAGAAATGCAACACTTTGATCAGGGATAGTCTCTCTGGATATGACTCTCCAGAAGTTTTGGCCAACAATTTCCATCAGCCCTAGGAAATGGCTTGTCAGAAGCCCAGTTGCAATCTTTCCAAGTGAAGTAGCATCTAATCACTGCACTTGTATTTCAGGGACTAGTCTCTCCATCCCCTCACCTAGAGTGCACACATGGCAGGCTATCCCAAGTCCACTTCCTTCAGAGCAAGGAGATATGGCTCACTCTGCTGTTGAGACACTGGAAGGGCCCCCAGCTCAATGGCAGAGCCCCTGCTTTGAATACAGATTCGCCTGGATTCGTTGCCCACCATGTCAAGACCAGGCTGGAAAGAGTCCTGCTTGAAACCCTGGAAGCTGACAATACTGGGCTAATTGGACCAATGGTGCGACTCAGTATACTGTACCTTCCCTATGTTCCTATGACACGCACTCTGTGCATGCACAGGGAAAGCTGAGCATGTCTAAGAGATGTTGTAGCTCAGTGACACAGTGCACGCTTTGAAGAAAGAAGGAACCAGGCTCGATCCCCGACGTCACCAGGTAGAGCTGGGAAAGAAACCTGCCTGACACGGAGGAAGGGCTGCGAGGCAGCGCCAACCATACTGAGCTAGGGGGACCCATGCTGCGACCCCCGAGGTTGCTTCCCATGGGCGCTGCAGCACCACAGCCCCCTCCCTGTGGCATCCCAGGCAGTCTTTTCCCAGCCCACACGGGAGGCGGCACCCCCACCCAACCCAGGCGCCGCAGCTGCTTCCCGCGCGCCCGGCCAGCAGAGCGCGCCGCCCGGAGCCTCGGTCCACGCAGCGCCCCGGCCGTTGCCCTGGCGACGCGAGCCGAGCGCCTCTCGCCCCCTCCCCGCGCTTGCTTCGCCTCCGGGCAACGGTGAGGAGGAGGTGGGCGACGGGGCCCGCCAACAGGCGGGCAGGGGAAGGGAGGAGAGGAGCCGGGCGGTCTTCCCCAGGCTCCCACCTGCAGCAGCACCAGCAACGCGGTGAGTCTCTTTTGCCTGGCGCCGAACTCCCCCACCAACCCAAAGGCCTCGTCCAGGTCCATGGCTGCGCGCCGGGCCTCTCCGCATTATCCCCGTCAGACAGTCCGCGCGACCGAGCGAGCAGCGGGGCCTGGAGCGCAGGGCGCGCTTGCCGCCGCCGTTGCCGTCTCGAGGTGCTGAGGTGGCGCGGGAGGGCAGGAAGCGCGGAGGAAGAACCCGTTGTCATAGCGACCCCTGCCGTCCGCTGCGCGCACCGCGCCGGCAAGGCCGGGGGGGAGGCGGGGCAAGCGCCCCCTCAAGCGCTGTCACTCTTCGAGGATCAAGCCGGAGCCAAGTCTCGGGCGCATCGCGCCGCGCGTGCGCAGAACGCGGGAGGGAGCGCCCTGCTTTGAGGGAGGCAGCGTGATGCTTTGGATGTTTACTCCGAGCAGCGCGTGCGGAGTGCCGTGAGACTACCGTATTTATTGCCCATGAAGCACTTTGCAAAACGCGGAAACGCCCTGCGCAGTGGGATTAACAGTCTAGTTTCAAGCTAAAATCTCCTAAAGCTGAAAAGGAACCAACTTGGGGCGCCTGCAGGCGTGTGGGTCCAAAAATCCCATCACCCAGAGCCACTGTGCTTGCTGGGCATTATGGGAGTTGTAACCCAGCACATCTGGAGGAGGACCGGAATGGGGAAGGCTTGACCGCTTCAATGGGGTTAGACCTCAGCAAGGTTGTTGTGATGATAAAATGGATCCATTTAAACTGCCTTGAGTTCCTTGCAAGAGGAAAAAGGGAGAGATATAAATGCAGTGTAATAATAATAGTAATAATAATCCTATGTACACTTAAAACTCTTGTTGTTATAACTCAGTGAGGAACCCAAGGCAGATTACATAGACCTCCTCCACCTTGTTTTAGCCACACAACCACCACCCTGTGAAGTAGGTTAGGCTGAGAGTGAAAGCCCCAGTGAACTTCATGGCTGAGTGGAGACTAGAACCAGGATCTCCAGATCCCCCAGGCAACACTTTAACCGCAGCACATGCTGGCTCTCAAACCACTACTCAAACTTTCATTTCCAAATGAATGCCATAAGGATTCAGTCCAGCAAATGTTTCAAATCTCCATCACTGAGACTAACTGCAGAAGCAGTATTTATGTCTGTATGGAAACATGCATAGGATCAGGCTACAGCTGGCTTTGCTACTGCCTCTACGGGTAGCTGCTGTTTGGTGTGGAAGATAAAAACATGCCCAATTCCTTCCTTAGCACACAGAAAACTATCAAATGTCCTTCCCATCCCTTGTCAGTGCCTGCCTTCCTGCCTTCAGCTGTCTACCGGTGATCAGCATGGTGAGCCTATTAGTACCAGCACAAGGGGAAAGAAAAGGCCCTGACACTGCTGAGAACGCACAGATAATAATTTATAACAGGATTGTTCCTCGCAGATGTTTGGGACCGCAGCTCAGGCATTCCTGACTATTGGCCATGCCGGCTTGGGCTGCTGGGACTCACAGTCAAAAACATCTGGAAGAGAGCAGATTACCCACCTCTGATTTACACGTACAAATGGCATTGGAAAGCGAACGGCACACAACACCTCTGTGTGCTGGTTACGTCCTCCTCCCATCACATTTTTGGCTCTTGCTGCTGGGTTTCTCCTCGATGACTTTCCTCCACTGCTCAGCACAGAGAGAAGCGGCTGTGCCAGTGACACTGTGTAGGCGTCGCAGACACTTCCTCCCCTGGCAAGTGCTCCTTGCAGCTGAAAGCAAAAGGCAGAGATGGAAGGGTTCTAGTAGCAGCACTGTCAAGCAAAAAGGGGTGGAGAAGGAGAATTAAACTGGCAAAGGCAGTGGGAAGCAAGTAGCAACCAAAGAAGTCGTATTTTAAATGGTTCCAATGACTGCCGGGAGAAAAAGTAGACGGTACATGACTGCATACATTGGATGTGGGTTCACAGAACCATAGAACAGCAGAGTTGGACAAGGGTTAACAACTTGAGGCTCAGTTTGGGCAAGATGGAGGAACTGTTTGGTCAGTAGAAAAGCTACTCTGGGGCTTTGAATGCCACCTGTTCTGTGTGGGGAGGCACTTCTAATGAACAACCAGATCTTGGAGGTTTTCCAAAAGGATCAGGTAGTGACTTTGCCCAGCTTTTCCTGGGCCGCTAAGTTGATGAATGTTTGGAAGGAGCGCCAGTTTGAGTACATTCCTCTGCGTGCTTAGACAGCATGGCTGACAGGACCAAAGTTCAGACTTGTAGGTTTTTTATCCATCTATTTAAGCATATGTAGAATTGCATCTTTAATTATGATTCATTTACTATTCAGATGTATATACCACTTTCTACAGAGATATCAAAACAGTGAGCAGAGAGGCAGTACTTGATACAGCAGCCAAAGCTGGAAATTCCTTCTTGTTCTACCCGTACTGCTCTAATGACCTCTGCCATAAGTCCTCACTTATTGCATAATAAATTTATCATTTCTCCATTTGGCCCCTTCCATTTAATTCTAACATTATAAGCCACTGAGAAAGCTTTGTAAAAAAAAAAAAAAAAGTTAATTGACATCACACATTTCCAAGAACATGTCAACTTCCTGAGTTGGAGTTACCAAAGATTTATTCAAAGTGCCATTTTAAAATCTGAGAGATTTGCATATTAATTGGAACCTCAATGACTGTGGAGTTCATTCACTTAAAATCTAGTAACTAATATAAAGATCTGGTATTGTGCATCTTTAAATGGAATCACTTCCTGAGGTTTTGATGTGGTGGTGCTGGTGTTCCTTTTAAACAGGAACATTACTAATTTCTAAACAGAATGATCAAAACAAAAGTGGCAAATGAAGTTACCATATATATCAACAGAAATAAAAAAGAGACTGAACATTCTCTCCAGGGTTGGACTACGTGTACTTTGAAGATTGTTGTTTGATCCTGCCCCAATAATCCTCTGCAGAGCACCGTAGCAGATTTTGTTATTTTTATACCTAAGTTCCCGAGACTGCACATTGCGCTAGGTGGAAGCACGGCTATAAAAGAGCAGGCCAAGTGTGCCATTTAATTGAATAGCGCTGGTCTATCATTAGATAATTTGCCGTTTTCCCAGCTCAGAAATACCTTTTAATGGAAAACACTAAGCCTATAATCATTCATAAACAGAGCAGGCTATCTGTACAGTAGAGGTGTATTTCCATCCCCACCTCATGCAAATTTACTTTTTTATACCTAAGATAAGCAAGTATGCTTGCGCTGGGGCAGAGGACACAAAGAGTACATACGTGGACAATACTCAAAGCAAATCACTAACTGTGACAAATGTCTGGCTTATACTAACGAAAGTCGGGAAAGGGGTAGATAGCACTAAATCAGTTTTTAATTTAGCCTAGCATGCCTGTGTCTCAAGGCACATATGGTAGAAAAACAGTATCTTTCTGTATCATCTGGCTTGCCTGATGAGAGGCTAAGCTAGCAGTAAACCAGCTGGTAGTGCTTAGGTATAAACAGGAAGGGTTTGGGAAAATTCCTGCATATTATTTTTAATATGAACAAATATTTATAAACATTTGAAATTTTACAGCTCATAAACCTTTAAATTGACCCGTTTCCTTATTCTTTGGATACCTGCTTGAGGTACATTATTGATTAGTCATTACCTCTGAGATGTTTGCTGTAGAATCCTTATGTGTCCTGATGAATTTTTCCCAAGCAGTTTCAAGGCTTCTCACATTTCCACTGTGATCCACATTTTCACTTAAAAGTGTGAAAGTTTGCATGGGCAACTGATTGCTCTCTCACAGCCCATTACAGGGCTTTGGGCATGAAACATGATGGTTTAGATCAGGAATCAGCAACTCTTTAGCCCTGAAGCACTGCTGGGTTGAGAACTACAATGCATGTATGCACACATGGCAAATCTTGGGTTTTTAGTAAAAAACAAAGTAGACTTGGCATGTTCCAGAGTAGATCTTGCACACCCTGGTTCAAAATATTTGAGTCTTGGGAATACTTGGGATCTGTGAATGCCACCTTACTTTTTAGATACAGCCAGTTTTGACTTTTATGTGCAGATTTAAACACATGCTTCATAAGCCTTTGGGATGAGCTGCAGTGAAACCATTGAAGAAATGGAAATATAAAGAAACGAACTCCCACTTTTTTTAACAGAGGCTTAGTTTATGCACACTATTTCCACTGTTTTCCTTGGTTCTCATCAAAACAGGATCTGAGAATTGTTTCCATCAGGGAGTCCCTACTTCAAAAACAAAAGAGTTTGGCATTGTTGTCCTTTAGTGACCACTTTGGTTGGAGGTTCTCATGAGCCTCTCTATGTGGGTCTTCACAAAAACGTTCCAACATGTGCAACACCCTCCAGTATCCACACAGAGAATGAGAACTACACGACTATTTCTCTTGGCATCCAGAGTGAAGAGGAAATTCATGCTAAGAACCCTTGTGCCAAAACAAACACATTTTGTTCTTAAGCAAGAAATTGCTAGAATATCTTCCTGGTAGACCAGCCACTAAGTTACATTCCCAAAAGCTGTTTGGCCTCCAGCCATGGAATATGGTCTGGGATAAGGCATGAGTCAGAGCTTTCAACTCAGGAGGTTCATCTACATAGTCCACCCCCTCCCCCTCAAAAAAAAAAAAAAATGAAGCAGGAAAAGAAGTAATGTCTAAAGTAGAAAGCAGCAACTGGAGTCCCCTGAAGCCAAATCTTACCCTAAGTTTCCAGCTTCAAAACAAGAGAAAGATATTGGTGCTCTGTGGAAACTGGATTTGGCAGAAAGCCACTTGTTTTAGTCAACATATTTGTGTACTGTCCTTCATCATATTGCATTAGAGAGGAAGGGGTAGACCCTGTGCACAAGGCCCTGAGAACAATTTCTTAAGAAATAGTTTAAAGAACAAAGTAATCATAATTGGTAGCATGCTATATGAAACGCATACTTGATAGTTGTATGAGCCATTCAAAGGCACTGTATTCTCATAAAACGCTTTAGATGCAGACTTTTAACTAACTCCTCCTTTAATCCCTCCCCATAATGCCCCGGTCAGCAAGATACAGGTGGAGAAAAAACAGATGGTTCAAAAGAAGGAGCAGGGTCTACAGATGGAGGAGGAAGAACAACATTGTGAATCTCAAATTTGAAAAATAATCCTCATTTACAATGGGAAGTCCTGCAGATACCCAGATGTGCTCTGCTGACAAATTCCAAGTCAGCCTAAAGGATTTCCTTGGATAACCACCAGCTGGAATACCATGGGACTATTATAGAATAAGAAAAGTCAGAGTTGAAAAAAAACCCCAAATATGAATACTTCAGAAATGATCCAAACTATTGGATCAACTGTAATTTATCTTGATGGGAATTTACCTGAAAAAGCAGGCCAGGCCTCTGCCCCATTTGCAGAAGAAACTGGATGGCTACCAGAAAACACAACAGATATTTCACTCCTAAACCTATGCTCATTCAGCTTAATGCCACGAGCCACCCTTTCCAAAGCCTGTTCTTCCAGCCAAATTCTAAAAGAAATATGTTATGGCTTAATAGATAACTGGGAGGTTGTTCACCTGGGAATGGGTATAAGCCTCTTAACTCAAAAAGTTATGTTCCACTTTAATGCCAGAATTGCTGTTTATGTTCAATTCAGAGAATTCCTTGGACCATGTAATAATGTTGGATAATGTAGGAGAACAGCATATCCCCCAGTGCAACAATAGATCACCCCTTGGCCATTTGGCTAAGGTCAAGGGTAGTATAAATTGCATGTCCAATTTATAGTTTCTAGTATGTATTTCATAGGGCTGAGTGGGTGTACAAGGGAGAGCATTCATTTCTCACTAGTAAAGCTAAAGCGTTGCTTTGGTGTGCTCCAATAGGTGAGCAAAAATGGTAAAACTGAAGTCATACTTTGGTCATATCATGATAATTGAAGACGATCATGCTAGGGAAAGTCAAAGGCAGGAGAAGAGGGAGAACAAAGATCAGTTGGAATGATTCCAGCAAGGAAGCCACAGCCTTGACATTCATTCATAGGGCTGCCTTATGTTGGAGGTATCAGCATAGAATCAACAATGAAGCAGCAGCCTTAAAGCATGGTTAGACTAAACGCATGGGCAGGGTGCCAGCAACCAGCAGGTAAGGATGTGTAAGGGGCTTGCAATGAGCACCAGCCATTGTTAACCTGCAGTGCCCAAGAATGCGCACAGCGCCGGGGTTCCCTCTTTGGAATGGCCAACTGGGGAACCCCCCGGTGGATGACAGGCTGAAAGGGCTATTTCCTTGTAACATCTCAACCCTTTGCATTGCCAGGCATGCCGAGAACATGCTTGGGATATGCAGAACTGCTGGAAAGACTACTCTCAGAGGGAGGTGGACCCATGGTTTGAAAGTACTGGGTTGTGCATTCAATGGCCAAGGCAATCTGAGAGGAACTGCTGCATGTCCCTTGGGTAAAAAAGCGGATATGGCATTGGGGAGCTCTCTCAGGGCCAAACTGATGCTGCTGAAGTGAAGCTGTTATGAGCTTATGCTGCTACAATGCCCATCCACCCAGTACAGAATGGCCCAGAATGACAAAGGTATTCCCAAGGACTTCTTCACTGTACTTCTCTAAGTGCTGGGAAACTCACACATAGTAAGTATTTGTTGCTTTAAGCCTGCATTTATTTTGTAGCAGGCTGAAGAAACAGCATGATGCGAGAAATGGAGGTGGGGGAACAATTACCTGTACGAATGAATACCCCCAGAGCAGATGTTTCAGCAACGCTCATTATATTTTGCAAGTCTCTTAAAGTAGATTTTACTCTCCTCTTTTCTTTTACAGCATACTTATTAGAGTTTCGCTGCAGATAAGTAGCATCTATAGTGCAGGATTTCAAAGCTCTGAATAACGTGAAACCCATGAAGTAGCTGGGAGCTGGGTTTGCCCCATTCTGCAGATCAATTTTATAAAATCTATTGGGCATTTTCCTTTGTGAAACCTTCACAAGGAATCAGTTGGTACAACTTCAAATCTGCAACCAACCCAACTCTTACTGGGGCAGGTTCCTGCACTCCAGCCAAGTAAAAGTACACTCTGCAACAATGTGAATGGAAATAACTTCTTCATATGTATGCAACTCGACAGCACTGGATTCCAGTCTTAAGTATGACATCACAGGGCTTGCTAACATCCAAGGTCTCACTGCGGTGGAATTTTCTGCACAAGAAAATCAGCCAGTTCTAACAAGTGTATAAATACATGGCCTATGAGTCCCTTCTTTCCAGGTGTACCTCCTTCCGAGCCCCTTCCAGTTCAAGTCTGGCATGAGGCACTCTTCAATTATTCATTTTACGCAGGCTTAACAAATAGCCTGTCCCAGGCATCTTAAATAACTGAGATATACTTTAAAGAACAGTCCATATCCACCCTTGGAAGCATACTTTGCAGTATTCGGTTTAAAGTCTTAGTAGCTTAAGGAAACTCAGCTCGCAGCTATAAAATGTCCTTAGAATTAACTCTCGCCTATAAAGTATTTACAAATTAGGTGAGTTGCAAATCAATTCTAAAAAAATTACTCATCTTTGGCAAGATACATGAACAGTCTTAAATGGTTAAAAATGTACTTTGAGAATTGAGGGGGTGGGCAGAACAGCCAGCCCACTTAGATGATTCCAAGACATTTAGTCTTTGACAAAATTGCACGTTTCACATCCCAGTGGAGAAAAAAAGCTGACAGGCCACATACAGCTCACTTGCACACGTGTTTCCAATCAAAACTCCTACCCGAATGATCACCAGTCCTGTGGCTGGGGAGGAGGAAACTTTGGAAAGGCAGAACGCATGATTTGTACAAGAGAAACACTTTTTTAAACGAAAATGAGATATTTATTTGATAATAAAAGGTTTAAAATCCCAGTTATGTTTGGCAGTCTAGATTTTTTCGTGCACCTTAAGAAGGCAAGTCCACTGCGATACAAAGGGCAAGTCTGAACCACTGCTTTGAAATTGCTTGGAGGTTGAAGGCATTTGTATGCACCAAAAAGTCCTAATTGCTACCATGTGTGGCCGTTCATGGTCCCATCCTACCATCATTTATCTACGTGAGTTCCAATTATGACGAGTATCTAGAAGGCCAATGAAACTAGTTCAGCCTTAAAGCTGTTCTCCCTACAGCTGCTGCACTCCCCACTCTATTTGAAAATGAGGTGGTTTCAGAAGAGCTTGCAAAGCAAAGGGCATGGACCTCAACAGTGAAAAGAAAGTAAGAAGTCCAGGCAGCTTCTTCAACCTCAGTCAATATCTGTCGTCATCCTTCTTCGGAGGATTAGAGAGGATGCCTTCGGAAGACTGCTTAGAGCGTGTGGATGGAAACTTGGCTCCATTATGGGGTGGAATAATGGGGTGGACTGGGTATCACCTGCTAGGTTTGTCAGCTGGCCATGCCCCCTTCTCCTGCACCCACTCGCTTTCTCCCAACGCTGTTTGTGATTGTCCAGGTGTTGTGCAGTCCCTCTGCTAAGGCTTAGTTGCTTGCAGCAAGAGATATAAGTTCAAATTTGCTAGGGGAAGGTTGTATTTTTGGTTCCACCCCTTCAGCCTCTGATTTTGTTCGTCTCTGGAATCACATCCCAATAGCTTCTCCAAAATGAAATTCAACCCATGGGTTGAAAAAGGCTTGACAATCCTGGTTAAAGATTCTCTACCCCTGGTTTAGGAATTATTCAATGTCACACAATTTGAACTAACTTGAAATGTTCTACTTCTCTTCGCATTACTTATGGAGCAACTATTTCTTGTTGTGTTACTCATTTATCAGAAATATAGAGAGCATAACTTCTAGACAAGACACCAAGTTATTTCAGCAAATTAAGTTCCTTCCTTTAAAAAATAAAAAGTACACCAGGGTGCAACTTTTCTCTCTTCTCTTCCTTCTAAAGTAACTCTTTTCTTAATTTATTGGATTTGTTTTGCTGCCAAGGACGATACTACAGCCATCTCCCTGCTTTTCACCTTCGCTCTGGCTCAGGAGGAATCTTCACCAGCAATGGGAAGCAGGCACTCCCACGTCCACTCCATGCTGCCTTCCCTAACCCCCTTCAGGCCTTGCATCAGGGCACAGTGGGCCCCCAAGCCCAATTTGCACATCCTCCTCCAGCTCAGCCACCACCGGGATGTGCAAGGAATCCACCTGGGCTTGGGAATCCATCAGATCCTCTGGGCTTGGTTTCCCAGATCCTGGTCCACTTTCAGCATTTGCAGGGGGCTTGCTAGGAATCGAGCCCCATGCGCTGTGCGAGCAGTGCCTACTCATGCACCGGAGCACCCACTCAAGCGGCGGTTGCAGGGCACTCGGTTATGGGGTCCTCCAAGAAAGCAACCCCCCACACACACACACAGCTATGCAAGCAGCCTCTCTCTTCCCCGCCAGCTACAGCCGGCCTTGTGGGTTGCTGCTGCTGCGGAAGAAGGTAGCTGGTTGTGCAACTCGGGCTGAGTGAGTGTTCACAGATTGCCTCTTGGCTTGGCTGTCTGGAAGACTGGGCCAAGCACCAGAGGAAGCCTGTGAATGCCTGGAGGGATTCCAACAGTTTGACCCATCCCTAGCCAACATTTCATGTAGCCAGAGGAGGGGGAGAGGCGAGTCCTGCCGCGAGTCTCTTCCAGAGGCAGCCAAGCAGAATATCCCCACCCCAGTGGTCGCCCTGCAGGGCAGGGGGCAGAGGCACAATGTCCTCTCCTCCACTGTCCCCATCTGATGTTTCATGTCTGCAGAAAAAAGGACACTCCAGCCAAGTGGCTGGAAGCACCTCCTCTTCTTTTTGCTTCCTGCAATGCTTTCTTTTCCAGAACAAGTATTAATCTGTGCTGCATTTGAATGAGGCAAGACACAGAAACTGAGCGCATTCATTTTATTAAGTATTTTTAAATAAATAAAGCAATTGCATTTTCAAAAATAGCACTTACAAAGGTAAAGAAAAGTCAGTACAAATGCTAAAAGATTCCTCTCAGTACTACAAATATGTAAACAAATTGACGGTTAACAGCTAAGTTAAAGTTTATCTTTCAAGCTACTATGAATCCAAATGTTGAAACTGCATTTGTAAGAACTGGAAGCAGCAATCCTTGAAAATAGATCACAAATGATCCCTCTGCATGTGTTTCTTTTACATAATAAATACTTAAAAGAATACTGACCTAGTGGAAGCCCAGTATGTCAAAATCTTATTTTTGATATGGTGTAGCCATTACATTTAAATGTCTAGCTTTTACCTTATTATTTGATTCCAAAAAGTTAAAACACAGGTTGAAGGAGAAAAACGGTCTTTCATTCAGTCGCAGCTTCTTTAGATCTAATGTGAAGCAGTCTTGAATCTTTCCATACAAAAACCTGCTCAGGGAACATCTGGCCAGTCAAGAGTTCCCTTTGAACTGCATCCATATCAAACATGTACTTAAGCACTACACATTATTTTCTAGTGTATGATATAAGTTTACACCAATTATGTAACCTATGACACAGGCATTAAAGCTCCAGGACAATTCTTCTTGCTAAAAGGCTTGAATAAATTTAAAAAGTGATAGGTGTAATGAAAAGAATATAACAAAAAATGTGACATCTCACAATAGCTTCATATACAATTCCTTTTAAGTTATCTACATTGAATAGTTGTGGAAAGATAGATGGGAACTGGAGGGATTGTTTGCCTGACCCAGCATGATAAGGGTCTCTATAAGACAAGCTAAATTTTTAACTAAAATGATGTAGGATGAAAACAAGGCTGAGCTCTTTTAAAACTACACTCTGTCCATATGCTGAAGAACTAGATTTTTTTTTAACAAACTCAATTTAAATTTTGTTAACCAAGGATCTACATAACAGGAAGACTTGTGGAAGGTAATGCTACAGCATATATCTACAGTCCTCTGAGCCACACACCAAACTCCATTCTCCCTACATTCAGTGTAGGTACATTAATCACTATACTGAGATGTAAAGGCAGGCAGGCAGGCAGGCCATAATGCTAAATCTTGTTTCTGAAGTTTGTGGCAATAAGGAAAACAGTCATTTAGTTCCTCCTACTGGGGAAGCTGCCAGTATTAACCATAAATGCATAGTTCTTCACCAGAGAAGAGACACTGCTAGATTGCATGGCATTAAAAACGTTGTTTAACTTCTATACATTTTCTTTGAACTTTATGAAAGTTTTTTATGCAGCAAAATAGTTTGCTTCATTTGGAATCCTTGAATTAAAGCCTTGTACCAACTGATACAGGAGCAGCATTTTTTTCAAGTGTTTCATTTAATAGGTTCCAGCACTTGGCCTCATCAGCCTTAAAAATGTGCATCTCTCATTTTATGATTTTTAAAAATACCCTTTAATTACTTTTTTTATTTACATCCACAAAGAATACTAAAACCCCTGGTTATCTGAACAAGTTCAGATGATTTATCTGAACAAAAAGGGCAAGGCACCCTTCAGAAATCTGTCTAAGGTAGTGCTTTGCAAGCCAGCATTTAAGTAGCAAACACTTAAGTATCCCTCAGGATTTAAAAGCATTTCAAATGTTGCTCTGAAACAACACAAAGGACATTGAAGAAATGTATCAAGTTAATACAGGCTCCACAGATTATGCTGGTCTTACATGAATTAAGAATTTGTACATTAGTCCAACCATTCAGTTACCCTGTATTCTTAATATGGATTTCAGTTCTGAGTACTGCCCCCAATATAAAGCTTTCAGTAATGCTTGTCTAGAGAAAAATAGCCACACATAGTAATGTTGGAAAAACATATGCAAGATGATTTTTTTTAAAGCCATTTTTTCAGACAAGAGAAAGAACTTCAGAATGTTTGTGTTTTCTCATTTCTTAAGTTTGAAGTGTCCAGTATCATGTCTGATACCTAACTGCCAGGATATCATGGAAAGGATTGAGATGTTTTGATCGTCAATGTACTCAAACACTTTCTATGCATACTAGACAGAAACTGAGTTCTAACCAAAAGAAAAGGTCCAGCCAGCCCAACTTCTTTAGTTGCATCCTCTCACATGCGTCATTAGAGAACATGGCTACAAAGACAGGGCCAAGTGGAAGCACACTGACTCTGCAGGCAGAAAGTCCCAAGATCAAACCCCGACCCCTCCAGGTAGTGTTGGTGAAAAGTTCCTCTCTGAAGCCTGGAGTGCTGCTGCAAGCTCGTGTAGACAATACTAGATGGACCCAATGGCCTGACTTGGTGTAAGGCAGCTTTCCTACATTTCTGATGAACACTGTACTGAAAACCCCATTAGAATGACCGTAATGCTACCACAGATCAATCTCAGAGTGCGCAGAAACAGAGACTGTAATGTAATGAGCGCTTATAACACATGGCTGTATGCACATGTAACACTCAAATCATTACAGTGCAGCAATACAAACATCTCCAAAGAGCAAAGGTTTTTTTTCCCACTTGCACAGTCACTTGGCAACAAGGGCAAAAATCTGTCAGTCACATGGTACGGAAACCAGCTGTTTGTTTTAACGACAATTAATTCCACTGGGTAGCAGAAACCCTTTTTATGAACCCAAGTAGCGTTGTTTTGGATCCAAGTTATTAAGTAGATTAGTTGTAAATTACTCCTATTTCATTTAAACTCATTTCTTTTACACTCGATGAAGAGCTTTCTAGCAATCTAGAATTATAATGCATTCAAGTATAAGCTTTCCAAATACAGTAAGCGAATTATGGAGATGTGCAATGTTCATTAAGTGTTGGAGAGAAACCAACCACTTGTAGTGCTCATCCACAAGAGCCACAATTAAGAATGTATTAATTAGTCAATCATTAAATTATTTCATTTACAAAGTATAGAAATCGACCTACCATAGAAAGTGCTACCTACCCATATTAGCAGTTGGTGTTAAAAAACTGATTCTAATGATATAATACACCACACTTTAAAGAACATTTACCACCACATTTGAATTTTTGGTATGCATAAATTCTAAACACAGTGGCTAGTAACTCAGATATGCATGCACAGCACCTTGTGTACAGGAACCTTCTGTCTGACAACCAAGGAAAAGCTCCACAGCGACAATGGGAATCCACATACATACACATCAAGCATTTTCCTTCAGAGAATGGGAAAGCCCTGCACACAGGACCAGGACCTCAGTGGGCCGGCAGGAAGCAACTAAAACAGCAGTTTGATTTAAGCTGAATAGTGAAGATCATTTAGAAGTACACTTGTGGTCTCCTCTTCACCTTGTATTTTAATGAGCCATACCGCATCTGAAAGAAAGAGAGAAGCTATTTCAGGGTACCCACAGGAACAGTTCTCTGCAAAAGCCCCGAAAATGCTTGTTTGTACAGCAGTACTACCTAGTACAGAGGCAGGGATGAAAATATAAATGTCAAATGAACACAGTAAAAGCAGTTTGAGACAGCAAGCAGTCTTTAAATATGATAAATCTATGGAATTTAGACAGTTTGCCCCATTTGATGATTTCAATATATTATGTTGTAGTGCTGATGGACAATAGCAAATTTACAGTAGTTCCAAAATTTGTTCCCTTTCAGCCATTTTAACTCGAACAAGTGACTTATTTAACATAATAATGAGTGCTGCACAGAAATTTGGCAAAGCAGGATGCATACAAGGAAGAGATGGAAACAAGTAAATTTGAAGAGTGAGGTAGGTGAATGCTGTTTGATTTCCACTTAATTGTGGTTAAGTGGTCAGGGAACATAATGCAACCCCCCCCCCCCAAGCTGAACTACAGTTCAAAAGAATATCATCATCAGTCCTTCAAACTAGAGTCTCAACCCAACTGGTTCTGTTTGCTTAGCTAGACTTAAGGTGGGGCAATAAACCAGCATGTTGACAGGCAATGCAGACAGAGACAGATAAAGAAGAGAGATAAGAGCTGGGCAACATCAGCATACTGATAACTCCTCACTCCAGATCCTCAGGTGACATTGTTCAGTGATTTCCCATAGGTGAAGACAAGACAGAACCCTGTGGAACTCCAACATAAATGCCAAGGAATCAAGCAGTAGCTTCTGAAATCAGTTATCCAGTTTGGGGTCATATTCCTTCTCCAAAGAGGTTGACAGTACTTCCCACTTTTTTAAGCTCTTCATAGAGAAACCAGATAAACTGAGAAACATTCTAAGTGCGACACAGTGCAGGTGTGGCTTTATGCTCCCCTACTGACTCCAGTTTTCTCTGAATAGGCAACAATCAGAGCCTGATTTGCAGGCAAATTTAAATTCCAGTTTGCTTGTTTGATGCTTTTAAACAATTTTTTAATTTTTATATTGGTCTCTGCTTAAAGCTCTCCAAGTAAACCACAGAACCATAAAATTCAATAATGTAGTACAATAGAACCTTAAAGCATATATTTGAAACAGAATAGAACCAAAGTAGCAACCAAGACAGAAGTCAGCAACGGTACAAAGATCCAGATATATACAAGTGGTACTTTTTAAAATGGAAGGGCTAAAAAACCAAGGAAAGTAAGAAGGACTTCTCCTGGGCCGAAAAAGATCACAATGTAGACCCCAGGTAAACCCATCTGAGGAGGCCAATCCACAACTGATGGCCACCACTGCAAGGGCTCCTTAGGAGCCACTAAACTCCCCTCCTTCAGTAGACACCCAAAGAAGGGCCTCAAAAGGCTTCTGAGGATGATCTCAGGTCTAGGAAGGGTTATAAGAAAGAAGACGATCCTTCATGCAAGCTGGCTCCAGGCCACATGTTAAAATTTCAACACAGAGAACTCCTAGTCAAGCAGACAGTCATGGACCCTAAATCAGAGCCAGATGTTAACTGACCATGTGGGACACATGAGCTCTCTCTTCGCTATGGTCCTCTCTTAGTGCATCAGCTGCCTAAGATCAGGCAGTAGACCACTAAATTCTTCTGAATGTCCCCACTTGTTCTTCTGCTCTCGTGACTGCTGTACTCTTCTGCTGCTGGTTACTTGGGTACACTGGGCTAGACAGATACAGATTCTGGCACTGAAAAACTGCTGATACCACAGAGTAAAACCAACAGGCCAGGAGAAGGATTCAAAGGCAGGAATCTTCATAGACGGGAGCAGAGGAACATATGAGTTTATTGCTTCTCAATGCTCCTCATGCAAGGGTAGGGAAGCTCGTTCAAGCTGGAGTGCTGAATTCCATTTTGGAACAGTTGGAGGGACATTCCAGTGGTGAGTGGGACCAAAGGAAGGAAGCCAAAAATACTAGCATAAAGCTCTTACTGCCAATAAATAAGCATTCAGAGGCATAAAAGCCAGGAAACCACCCTATGTGGTTTGGGGAAAAAGAGGGGATGGTCATCTGGAGAATCCTGCATGGTTAGATTGGAACCCCAAGAACACTGGACTGGTTCCCCACCTGATTCACAAATTCCACAACACAGCTCAGTATTATGCCTTGAGAATGCCCTAAAACGAATTACCTACTCCTTATCTAATTACGAACTCATAGGCAAGGCTTTTGTACATTGAATGACACCAAATTTTCACAAAGGAGTGATTTTATCAATGCTGGTTTGCAGATATGGTAAACCCACAAATTCTGGCGTAAAGCACAGAAAGAACAAATGGTGTAAACAAACTAGGCATGGACAGCTTAGCACGATGGCCAAATCTGGAATTCTGGGTGTGGGAGCTCAAACAAGCCAGGATTTTAAGGTAACTTTAAATAAGGATTTATATTTATAACCCTGGCTTATTTAGGTATAGAAAGCCATAATCTTGGGTCTAGCCATCATGCTAAACAACCGCTGCCTGGTTTATTTACTCAGCAAATAAAAAAGTGAAGCAGAAGGAAATGAGCTTCATGTACCAGCATGTGGCTTATTCACCAGGTGATTAACAAGCCAGAATTTTTAGTTTATTTGTATGTTACTCTGGCTGCATGCAGCAAGTTACCAAACTGCAGAACTATTCCAAAAAATAATATTTTAGTTCCACGTATCTATCCTGCCAGTAGTTTTAGCAAAACTGTCCTATGGTTTGCTTTTGTACAGACTTAGAAAAAAAATTCCTCTATTTTAGTAAGTTACCAATTAAAAATCAATCTACAGCCATAAACATAGTCATAGCATATTTAGTATTCTGAGGCTTTAGATTAAAAGATAAAGTTAGTTTCCTAAGGAACTTCATCCTTTCAAGAAAAAAGTTGCTTGCCTCTTTGCGGCCTTTGCTCGTTTTTACAGACTTCATGCTTTGTGTTCGCCGGAGACCTCTCTGAGCATACATTTCATCTTCTGAGTAGGTCCCTTCCCGCTCCTCATCGGTTTTATCATCTTCAGAATCTTTTTTTACTGGAATACTATAACCTGAAATTGCAAGATAAACATCTGAGATGTTGCAATATATACAAACAATTTGTTATTAATTATCTTTTTAAAAAGAAGAGAATTGAAGCTGTTAGGGCTTGTGGTTTTTCAGAATGCTGGCAGGCTCAAAGAACTGCGCAATGGACCCACACATCCAGAGCAGTTTGGCAACTGCACTGGTTCAGGGCAGTTCTCCATCTCAAGCTGCACTTACAGCTCAGAGGACTTTGAAAAGCAGTTTCTGGTGAGAACAAGGGAATCTGCTTTCAGGAGAAGAAAGACATCAAGCATTTTACTAGGCACATAAGCCCTTGGATGGAACTGAAGTAGTACTCTCGATCCCAAGTAACGGTGTTGAAGAGCACTCAGGCATTTTCTAATCTTATCTAAACGAAGACTGAGATGTCAATGAAAACAAATAGTTCAGTCATGTGCTTCAAACCAGAAGGCAACATATTCCAAAGAGTAGCATTTTATAAATGGCAAACACCCCCCTGCAAGAAGACTGTACCATCCCACCTACAAGCAATCCTGGTTGTGCTATATATATCCCAAAATATCTAACTTGAGCTCATACAAGGGAGGCAGTGGTGATGGGAGTAATTTAGACTCAACAGCTCGTAACAGGAATGGTACCTCTGACTGAAAAAGTGGTAATGATTATTTCAGATGAATCTCTGAACACCATTAGCTCTGTAAGGAAAGCACAAGCTGACATCTGTACATCTGCACAGAATTATACCATAGCTCCTAATATCAGCCAGCTGTAGGTTATGTGGCCTAGAAGACTCAGCTATATTCAGTACAGTAGAAGATAAGTAACAAGAAGAATCCGTTGAACTAGCTAGACAGAGAAGGCAAGATGGAGCATAGTTGAGAGGTGGAGACTGCTATCTTTTTGAAAAACAGCAGGACAGGGCAGATAAAGCAAAGAATTCATCGGTTAACATGAAGCTATGTGCATCTTGGTTGAATCTACCGGTATAAAGGTGCCTCAATATCTAGAAAAATAGGAAGCTTACCCTTTATTCTACAGCTTGCTTATATAAAAAGTGTTGTAGCAAAATTAGAAATAGTCTTTTTAGTAAAATACAAACCTAAAGATTCATTGGTGGTGGAGGTTTTGCTTCTCTTTTTGGTATCAGGTAATGTTTGGTAGAGCCTTTGTCCTACAGGTTCATCACCTTGTATAGTTGTTAAGTCATGCATACTAAAACTTCGCAGTTTTTCCGTTATTGCCCCTTGGCCCTGTAACATTAAGCAGGAAAGCAGAGAAATCTTTCAATAGGTGGGAGGAATGTAAAACTCTTTTCTTCAAAGTTCACCTGCAATAATTAAATACATAGTTGTACTATTATAAGACACTGCATGCAGTGTTTGCCATTGCTTCTAAAAGATAATAGTACGTGTTCTTTTGGCTGGCACTTTGCTCAGACGTAATCTTTAAACTTGCAGCATACAGATGTTATTTACATTAGTAAACCAATTTATAAAACTACTCATTCTCACTTTAAAAAATGTTAGCTTTCTGCTAAATTTAAGAGTTAAGCTCAGAAAACTAAACTACTTAATAAAAAACTTCCTATAGTTAACAAACTTCCTAGTTAAATATGTGTAACAAAGCTCAGTTGCACATATTTTAATATTTCATTGTACTGTTTTTTCCCAGCTTTGGAGGAGGGAAGAGCATGGCAGACTTACTAGGAAGCAAGTACCACTGGAATCCTGCAACATGAACAGGATTGTACTGAAAATGTTGAAATATACCACACGTGCAAGTTATCTTACAAAAATCTCAGAAGCCTATACCTTTCCCAATTTTCACCAGTTATGAGGAATTTGAAGACACAATGTCCTAGGTAAAGAGACAGACATAACTTCCAAAAACATTATCATTTGTCACCCAGCAGCATTTTCCAATACCAAGATGACCCCACATTATTAAAAACAAAAACAAAAACCCAAAACTGGAACTCAGAAGTGACATACATTGTGCTATGAGAAAGAAAAAAGAAGGTATGAGAAGATTTCAAATGGGTAATAGTCTAGGAAGGAAAGGGTGTGGAATGTTTTTTAAACTGTATTTTCAGAGCTTTGGGTAGATTAAGCTTATGTTTCATTCACAAGGTTTCGTTTCTTTAACCAAAACAGGTGTCAAAACTACAATGAAGTTTACTCAAAGGTTAATCAAAAGCCACACTGCAAAGTGATGACAGATGGATTTCTTAGTTCTTAAAATCTGCCCCCTTAAATTTGTAAGCTATTCGAAGTTAGAATTTAGGAGGATTTAATCTCAGAAGGGCTAAAGATTTAACTGACTTTTCAAGCAAGTTGTAGACTTCGGATTCGTTTTTCACTGGAGTTAAGTTAAATTCTAAATTTAAATTGTGGATTAAGCTAGGTCTGGAGGTCCCTGCTCAGTAATTTTATCCATGAAATGCCCTGTGCCACACCTATACTTTATGGAAGACAAAGGCAGCTAACCCTGACATAGCTGACCATGCCAGCACACAGGAGGAGACATGGTTACAGAGAGTGGTTTTAAGTACAGCGTACTTAAAGGTTTATGAAAGAAAACCAGCAGTAGAATGTTGCAAACACAGAATGCTAGCAAGGATGGAACAGTAGGGCACACCCAGTGCTACAAATTAGGATGACCTAATGACGAGTAGTTTTAACTGCAAGCTTGGTGCAAAGGACTCTCTTGTAGGGAAACAATAAACACATTTCTGGTCTTACAACTGAGCAGAGTTACTCTGAAGCTTTTTGGCAAATTTACATATGCCTCCAGTTTTCAGGGAACAGTATCTATTCCCTATCTACTTTCATATCTTATATGGCAACCTTCCCCAAGCTGATGCCCTTCTAATATTGTGGACTATAGTTCCCATCTTCTCTGTCCATAGCCTATGCTGGTGTTGCTGGCTAGATTTGTCACCCAAAGCATTGGAGGGCATCAGAGGTTGAAAAAAAATCTATATGGTCTAAACAATCTCCTATTTTGTTACATACTGATTCCATCAGGCATTGGCTCTTGGCCCAAAGCTTCCTAATGTGGTTAAAGCTCACCTAATGAATTCACAACAAACATTTAATTCTTATTCAAGTTATATTTGCTTAATTTATTTTGAGCATGTAAATTTGCATGTTCTCACTATAAGTGAGATATATAATCTCCACACAGGAGATGAGATGAGGCTGGGGACTTAAGGGCACAGATTAGAGTCACCCCGCTAGAAGTCGAGGGAGCTCCTCAGGGCATTGGACATTAAAGGCACCAGGCCCTGACGGGTTACACCTGAGAGTACTTAGAGAGTTGGCAGGGGTTCTCTCAAGCCCGTTGGCCTCCATTTTTGAGGCCTCGTGGAGAACGGGTGAAGTTCCAGAGGACTGGAGGGTGGCATCAGTGGTCCCAATTTTCAAAAAGGGTAGTAGAAGGGACATGGGGAATTACAGACCTGTTAGCCTTACATCCGTAGGAAAAACCATGGAAAGGCTCATAATAGAGATCTAGTGATGCTAGACAGGGAAGGGAGGCTGACAGCCGCACAACACGGCTTCCGCAAAAACAGGTCCTGCCAGACAAACCTTGTGGAATTCTATGACAAGGTTTCGAGATGACTAGATGGAGGGGATGCAGTGGATGTGGTATACCTGGATTTCAGCAAGGCCTTTGACAAAGTGCCCCATGATATCCTGGTGGAGAAACTGAGGAGGTTTGGGATACACCAAAGCACTGTCCGGTGGATTAGGGCATGGCTGACTGACCAAAAGCAGAAGGTAACCATTAGCGGGGAATCATCGGGATGGCAGCCAGTGACAAGCGGGGTCCCCCAGGGCTCTGTCCTGGGGCCAATCCTGTTTAAACTTTTCATTAACGACATGGAAGAAGGGGTGAACAGTCTGCTGATCAAATTCGCAGACGACACTAAAACTGGAGCAGTGGCCACAACTGAGGAGCAGGTACTCCAGATCCAAAAGGATCTGGACAGACTATGGAAGTGGGCAGGAGACAACAGGATGGCGTTCAATGTGGATAAGTGCAAGGTCTTGCACTTGGGGCATAGGAATAGCTGTCATAAGTACAGGTTAGGTGACAAGTGGCTTGAGAGCAGCACTTGTAAAAGGGACCTCAGGGTACTGGTTGACTGCAAGCTAAACATGAGTAGGCAGTGTGATGCGGTGGTCAAGAGGGCGAATGCCACCCTTGGTTGCATAGCCAGAAGTGTGGCTTCTAGATCGGGAGAGGTATTACTACCACTCTATACAACTCTGGTGCACCCACAACTGGAGTATTGTGCTCAGTTTTGGGCCCCTCATTACAGAAAGGATATAGCCAGGTTAGAGTCAGTGCAGTGTAGGGCCACAAGGTTGGTGGCCAGTTTGCAGGGGAACTGGGTCTCTTCAGCCTGGAGGAGACTCAGAGGGGATACCTTGGCGACATACAGGTATGTGAGGGGATGTCACATGGAGATGGGTAGAGACCTGTTCTCCCCTGCAGAGGAAGGCAGGACGCACTCCAACAGAGCAAAGCTCAGGGAGCCAAGGTTCCATTTGGATGCCAGGAAGCACTTCCTGACAGTCAGGACCCCAAGGGTGTGGAATGGGCTTCCATGAGAGGTCATTGAGGCCCCATCGGTGCGGGTGTTCAAGGACAGGCTGGACGTACACATGGTGGGCATATCGTGAGCAGAGCCAGCTGGTGCCGGAGGTCAGACTAGATAGCCCGGGAGACCCCTTCTGACTCGCTCTGTTTCTATGTTTCTATAAAATTAGAGTGCTTCATATTAAAAGCTGTCTTCTTGGATCCACTAGCTATCACTGGATGGGATCCAATGTAAGACACAATGCATCTACTCTACATTAGACTAACACTGAATATTTCCCACTACTAGCTACTCTCTCAGGTGAACAGGTAACCTTAGACTTTCCATGCTCTACAATTACAACTTTTTCAGACACATTTTATGTATAATAAACTGTCCAAACTTGGAAAGGAACCATGATATAAAAGTTTTGGATCAATCACACAAGCCTCCATCCCTAAGAAAAAAAACTATCCATTAACCGAAAGACATTTAGCACCTTTGTAGATAAATTAACAGTGAAAACTTCTCAGCAGTACATTACATATTTGAAAATACCACGGCTTTTCCTAACAGCTAGGTGTAAGGAACAGAATATGGTAAACAGGTAATACATGGGCAAATTAAAATATGCAAGAAAGCAAAATGAGAAGTTGCTCTGGCTGCACACAATCTGGACTTTGGAGATGCAACTCTTGGACCTGACAGGCACAGCAATAGTGGCAGTCATCAATACAGTAACATTTATCATACTATTATTATAAGAATAATAATAGTATATATAATATTATATATTGTATTGCATTGTATTATATTATATTATACAACAAACAAAATACTGTCCTGTTGGGCTACTGAGTGGCATATAAATCTGATCGCTGCAGTCACATCGCCTTAACCAGCACTGGGCTGGGCTGGGCTGGGCAGTAATGTTAAGCCCTTGCCTGAAGTAAGCCACGTGCTCAGGTGCTCTCTCCTTGTCTGATGCAGCTGTGAGACGCTTGGAAGCTTCTATTTCCACATTAGAGGAAATGCTACTTGCAGAGTCATCTGAGCCCAGACATACTGCAGTTCATCCTAACTATGGTAAGTGGAAACAGGACTACTTTAGACCATACTTTATGCACTGAGCTTGTTTCAACTAACCATATGTGGAATTCACCACCATGTAGCATGTCATGAGTACCCTAAACAGCAATTTGGATGGGGGAAAAAAGTTCACCTCTCCTCAACCTGATGCCAGAGGAAAGGGGAATTGTACTTTCATAACACAGACCCATGCCTTACTGGTGAATCTGAATGTACCCTTTATAGTACTACCTTCCTTAACATGGGAGGGCAGGGATAACACTGCATAAAAGGTTCGAGACAAAAAAAAAACAAATTTAACAGAACATCAAGGTCAGCATTTCCCTCTTTAGAAATTCTAAAGATACATGCTCCAGAGACTGATTTTTAAGTTGATTTGGCAAAGGACAATCAGCATACTAACATTTAAATGAAAAGCTTGCAGGTAAGCTATGTCAGGGTCACAGGGACTGTCAAGTAAGTCTGAGTCAGACTGGTCACATGAGCTGCCAACAAACTCAGGCCAACCGCAGGAATCTCTCTGTAACTACAGACACAGCTTTGTAATTAAGAATTGAAGCACTTTTTCCCAAGAATGCCAAGTCAGATTGCCATGTCCTTGCTAACTAGGAACCATTCCTCCTCTTGCTACCTCCTGCAGTTTCAATTAAAATAATGGCAGTTTCCTTAATAAGACTCCTATGTGCAGTGGTTATGTTTAGTCCTAGTTCAAATATGAACACCCCTGGCCCTGAAACATACCCATGGTTCCCGCTGAAAAGCTTTTCCCTTGGCAGCAATCTATGAAAAACAGTAACCTCTAAATTATTGTTACCATATGCAACAGCACCAGGCATGCCCGTACGGGAAATGCTGTATAGAAAACCCATACGTGTGCGCTCAGGTTTTAAATCTTACTACTCTGCGAGGATTGCAACCACCTGAAAGAACGTTCTTGCACACCCTCCCTGCGCATCGCACAACATCCAAGCCTTTGCTTTGTGTGCAGCTAGGTATCCCCCTGGAGGAAGGCCTTTGCGCTAATGCTGCCAACCCTATGGACTCGACTGGGCTCAATCCTTCAGGGACCTGGCTGGCCCAACTTCTGAAGGACGTTATCTCAGCTATCTCTTGAGAGCCAGTGTGGTGTAGTGGTTAAGAGCTCGGGACTAGGACTCGGGTGATCTGGGTTCTAGTCCCCACTTAGCCATGGGGCTCACTGGACCAATCACAGACTCTCAGCCCAACCTACCTCTCAGGGTTGTTGTTGGGAGGATAAAACAAAGAAGAGGAGGAGAATTATTTAAGCCATCTTGAGTTCCTTGGAAGGAAAAAAAGACAGGCTATAAATAATTAAAGCTTGGGTGAGCTTTGCTTGCTCTGTTCTATTTGCTGCTTTGGCTTCATGTAATTTGAATATTTATTTGTAATCTCCTTTCACTCTGGGAAATGCAGAAAAGTTTTTCAAAAAAAAAAGACTAAAAATAAACAACCATGGGGGTAACATCCTCTGAGCTAGCTCTCAGTTTGCAAGCCAAATATCCTATGTATGCCCAAAGACCAAATTCATATAATCATAGAAACATCTGACGCCATCTGAATCCTCACAAACAATGAGGGGCAAAAAAATTGCTCCAATGCATCACATTAGCAAGAAGGGTCTACAGAGAAGAGGATCCCACTCTCTAGAATACAGAACATACTGCCTAAAGCTTTAGTGTGATGGTCTCCTTACCTTCAAGGGACATTAACTGAGTTTGCATGGCCTGACAACCCACACTGGCAATAGGCAACACTGGGCTAGCTGTTTTTGGGAAGTGCCCATGGTAAGCCCAAGAGACAATGGATTGGGTGCACCATGGGTACTTTGCTCCCCATCCCTGTCTATCACGAGGTATTTCAGGGGACAGGGAAAAGAGGAACAAGCCTCTTCTTTCTGGCAGCCATGATCACAAGCTTATGCCCTGAAGTGCAATGGAGAGAAACGTCCAGCCTTAGCAGACACAACATGCAGGGGCTTGCCCCACTGCTACAGGAACAAAGAAAAGTTCCTTCTCCTCCTTTAGCCCCATGAGAAAATGGGGCTCCTGCCCTGAAGCCCAAGGGGAGGAATGGGGAAGGTGATCAAGCACCCTACCTCCTCCTCCTTCTGGAGCTCCGGCCTCCTACCCAAGAAGTCCACTCTTGGGAAGGAAGTGAGAATGCCCAGTCACTTGAGTAGCACTGCCCTGTGCTTGGGGCCATACAGCCAAATGGACTGGGCACCCCTGCTTGAGGTAAATCTCTCAGGAGGGAGGAGGTGGAGATGCTTGGCCCACTCCATGGCATTGTCCCAAGCACAGGGCAGCACCACAGAGTGGATCCTTGCCAGTGGCTCAAGAGTAGACTTCTTCAGCCACCAGCAAGCATGTCTCCTCCTCGTCTTGAAAGGGCACAAAGGGAAAACTTCTGAGAGCAATCCTCAAGTGCCACTTGAGCACTTTAAAGGCTGCTATCAGTGGAGTAGCTGCTTGCCAAGAGCAGTGGGGGATTTATGCTGTTTTGACTGAGCGTCTCACTGGCTTTTGGGCTTACCCATGGTAGGACAGGTTTGGATGACATGACATTTTATGAAAACAAGCCAAGAACAGCAGGCCACCGATTGTATGAAAGACTCCAACATTGGAAGCTTCCTTCTAAGAGGAGCTATGAATTGTGATCCTAGTGATGCTTAATTTTAAGGAAAGAGAACATCCCAGTTGCTACCTTGGAAAGCTAACAAATTTAACAGCAAAATTTGCAAGTTCCTATCCACAGGTACAAGAATTCAGAGCAGGTCCTTTTGCTCAAGATTTGAAGACTTCAAAAGACTGAATTAAAAGTTTATCAACTGTATTTAATAAGTACATAAGCTGCTATATTTAGAGAATTTTTTAAAGTCCACGGTATAGGGATGGTACTGACTGCCTTGTGATCAAGAGACTTCTAGGGATATTTTCCATCTCTTCCCCCTTGTGATTCACTGGAGACAATGAGGATGTTCTTCCCAACTCTAAACTTTCTTACATTATTGGCTTTAAAAAAGTCCTCTCCAGTTTTCACCATTCGTATGATCCTTGACTCATTTCTGCTAAGTTCTTGGTTCTAAAGGGCCCAATCCATGAAACTGTACCATGAAAAGGAATAAATTAACATGATACTGAAAAAAAACCCGAGTAACTGTACTATAAACAGTGAGCAAATAGATGTTTTCTATGAGACAACTGCAATGGATGTCAAAAGAAGACTGCAGGGTTAGGAACATGCACACCGGGATGGTAAGGGTGGATTCCTGCCAAAAATGGTTCATCTAGAGAAGTTTCCCAACTACATGCAGCATGGATGTACAACATGCACACAACTGCTCTATTGCTAGAGACCTATCCATTGTTACAATTATACTTTTCTAGAAGTATCTAAGACAGGGAGAACAGAGGAGGACTGACTCCCCAAACACAAACAGCTCTATTAGAGCAAGCCCCTCAGCTCATCTCTATGTCCCAGTCAGAACAACACTTCATTTGTGCGTTGAAATTCACTGCAGCTTAATACTAGTGTTGTTCAGCTTATCCTTCTCCAGCTCTTCTGATCAAAGACTTGCTCAGAGGCATACAATTTTTTCTTTGCAGATTGTTCTAGTTACAAAGGATTTCATTTGTGCCCATTAATGCCTTAATTACATTAGGGCTGAGTTGCTTCTTAACTTACAGAGAGTGAGCAGTTGGCCAGGACTATTTTGAGCCCAAATCAATGTTCTCAAGTATTATACAGCTCTAAGCAAGGGCAGTTACATTTCAAGCTCATGTCATGAATTAATATTTTATTCTAGAAAGTAAAGTGAATTCAGTAGACTTATATCCATTTCTCACGCACATGTAGTGAAGCATTATTTCATGCTTTAATTTTCCATGAGCAATTACCTCAACTTGATTGAAGGAAAACAGCAGAAAGAAGCCAGAAATCCTATGGAGTGTGTTTACCAGCAAGAAAAGGCAACAAGAAAGAAAGAAAGAGTCATCTTCACTATTAAAAAGCATTATATAGCCAGTGTTTGAGAGATCATACTTTTAGAACATGCTGTTAGAAAAAGTTATCTAGTTTGCGTTTATATATGTACACCCACACTGTCTTTTTATACTGAACAGTTAAAAAGCAATATATTTTACCTTTACAGCTGCAGTCACTGCAGCGGTAGCAGCTAAATTTAAGCCTTGTTTACCAAAGTTAACCATTGTTTCATAACCACGTTCTTTGGCTTGCACAATATATTCATCAATCTCCTGAGGAGGAAAAACAACACACAGCACGACACAAGAGATTAGTCTAATCTGACACCTGCAATCCGTAACATTCTCATGTAATATATACAAAGCTCTAACTCAAGTCTCTTCCCCACCTAAACATGGCAACTGCATTTCAACTGTTTATGCATTACAATAAATGACTTTAAGAGCAAAGCAGAGGGAAGAAATCTCACCCTTTCCTTTGAAGAAAGAAGAGGATGAAGAAACTTCCTATATATTAAACTTGCTCCTCTAGTATATGGAGAGAGCAACCAAATAACAAAAGCAATCTTCAGCTCATAGTACAGTGGAAACCTGCAAAACATAAATAAGAATTCAAAACAGGGTTACCTAATTTTCAGAAATAGGTACATTCTTTCTAATTTAGTTAGCTCTAGATGTTATCCCATATCATCATTTTAAGCAAAAAGTTGGTGGCCAAATTATCTTAGAAGATATTGCTCTACCGAAGTCTTATCTGCATACACTAGCGGTGTTTTATAGCTCCACCTTCCATGCAACTATGAAGGGACGCTAATAAATTCTTGGCCTGACCCACTTTGGTTTTGAATCTGTTTTGTTTTGTTGGTTGGGCTGAGAACTTTTCAGCAGTCCTTCATAAGATATAATACATTGATTAAGGGGCTTTTGACACTCTAAATGGGGTACAAGTTCAATAATGCAACACCAAACCCAATGGGAGTATTAAGCTTTGCAACCGTATAGATCTTACCAAGAGATCATGAGATCAGTTACTGCTTCAGTAACAGTATAAAGAGCAAATACAATCCAGTACATCATCCACCGCACCTAAAAATGAAAAATGTGAATGTTAAGGCAACAATTTTAATTCCAGGTACGTTGAAGGGCAAGAAAATTCTTACTTTGGTTACACGTACATTTTAACAAATTAACTATACAGAACTGCTGCTTGCATTAATGCATTTTACAATTATGGGAGCTACAAGTTTCAGATAACAGCAGAAAGAGTAAACTTTCTGAAATACAGCTTTTGTGTTCTACTCTAGGTCAAAGACCAACTTCAGAAGGAAATAAACTGCATAGCAGCTACTGGTGCATTGTTGACAGTCATATCATTCATTCAATAATCAGAAAATCCCATAACTTTCCTTAAAATGGGCACTATTAGTAAAGAAACCTTCCCAATTCTTTAACCAGACAAACCAGACTTTTATAGCTGGAAACTGGTTATAATAAGAACTTTCTTCTAAACATAATTCTTACCAGTGAAGTGAGCCACAAACAGTGACATTCCTAAATACTAGTTTTGGCAGCAACAGAACATGGCACAGACATTCCTATTTCCACCAAAAACATGTCATTTTATGCCAGCTAAAACTGGTATTCTGGGAACTATAATTTTGTAAGTACACTGAGAATCCACTGTTAGAAATCCCTAGAACTTGCCCCTCACATGTCTAAATTCCCAGCCTCTCACATGGAGACAGGGGACCACTGTTGAACAATTTAAGCCTCAAGTACGAAAATCCATCCAGGCTCTAAGAGTGCTATGTTTATATTAAGGCGGAGGGAGACACAACATCCTTGTATATGGAAAGCTAGCAGGGAATGCTTAAGTCAAAACCCTTATTCCCATCCCCCACCCTCCCCTTCCAGCTTTTCATGTGAGGAAGCTTTTTTCCCCCTTTTTTCTTTTGTGGAGAAGGAGTCATCTTCCATCAGCGGTTAGAAGTCATAGATTCAGAGAGATTCCATATGTCACTCTTGAAATAGGCATGCTTAGGGCATGAAAAGCAACATGAACTCACAGCCTCAGTACAGCCATTATTACAATTTTTCTGATGATGAAACTATATTTAAGAAAAACATAATGTAGTATCAATGTACGTGCTCTAAACCAGTGGTGGACAGCATAACGCCTGCATGCAGCCCTGGCCCTTTTTTGTGACCCTGACTGTTGAATTTGCCACCATGCCGATTTTTCCCTAAAGTAAAGTGCTGCATGCACTGTTCAAGGAAAAACCACACGTTCGTGCCTAACGACTCAGAGGAGTCATTAGCACACATAAGAGAGCAAGAAGCTCCCAGCGAGAGTCAGGCTTTAGTGCAAGAAGATTTCTACTTGGTGCCCCTGGCACAAACACCCCCCCGCCACACCACCTGACTCTGATGAAGTTTTTATACAAGTTCCTGATATTCATGAGCCGGCAGTGGGAGTGCCCATTGCCATGGAGAATGCCCAGCTGAGGAGAAGACTTCGGCGCTTGGGCCAATTAAAAGAGAGGCAAAGTCAAAGAAGGAGGGAGAGGAGTTTATCTAGCCCCCGGGGGGAGGTCCGTTTCCGTTGGGTTAAGAGTACGTCATAAATCTGAGGAAGGTCAGAAAGGAGGGGACAACTGTGTTGCTTAGAACTAGCATTGACTGCTCCTGTATTATCCATTGGCTGCTTATCTTTGAAATGTTTAGAATAAAAGGCTTTAAACCTTTATTGCCTGTACCTATGTGGGGAATCAGAAAGAGTGCTCTGGCCTCACGACACACGCTCCCCAAAGCCCAAGCTTACCATGGCATGCAAACACTGGCAATATATACGCAGCAGTGTGTTAACTGGCCCATTTCAAAGATGCTCCTTTCATTGCAGAAGTGTTTCATGTTGGGAGGGGCAACCCCCCCCCCCCCGTTGGCCAAAAGCTATCAGGTGGCCATGGCCACATTCACCTTATACAAGGTGCCCATCATCATTGCTTGGCTCAGGGACCAGTACTTTGCTGCACGTGGGCATTTCATGTCAGACAAGCCCCACGGTGCAGGGAGGCCAAGCCAGCCTAGCTCAGTGGAGAAGCAGCATGGACTAGATTGACTCTTTCCTTTCTCTTTCCCGTAATGGAGAGAAGGAAGTGAGGTAAGTAAAGCAGAAAGGACTTACTCAACTGCTCTCATCCACATATGCGAGTCCCAACACCCAGGCGGCCTTGCATCCTCACCACTACGGGTTGGGCCACCCCACATTACACTGAACTGTGGGGTTTCTGCTGCTAGGAGATGTCTCCTTGGGGATCCCTCCACAAGTGAGGCCTGCAGCCAAAGGCCAGCATCTTGGAAAAGCCCCAAAAGTCTGCACTGACCATTTGGGGGGTCCTGGAGGCTACAGGTTCTGCACTTGTTTTGTAGCAAAAAGGCTTTGAAAGCAGCTGATAGTCAAAGAAAGAGACTACTGGGAATCAAATAGCTTAGTCTATGCCTGAGCACAGATTAGCAGAGAGAGAGCAGCTGGGCAGCTCTTCAGGGTCTGTTGATCTTATGCCACAGGATCCTCGCTGAGCTGACAGTTGCAATACCACTCTCTCTGGCAACCTGCAAGGATGGTGCTGGAGTGCAGCAAAAGACAAACCAGCAGTCCCTAGCAAGCTGCAAAATCGGAAGAGATTAGGGTGGCTTGGGCCCACTTCCAAGGTTTTGTTTGAATTGTTTAGCATGGAAGCTAAGTAGAATTCCCTCATTTCAGTGAGTAAACATGTCATTTATGGGAGGAGCATCAATTTCTGCTGACAAACTCCACTAACTCTGAGTGATCTAATTTGGCAATCATATCTTGACTTTATAAGCCAAGATACAATCCCTTCATTCTTTCCATTGCACAATCTCTAATCAGGTTGAGGAGAGTCCAATTAATCATAGTTTCCTGTTTCATTCAAACAATGATTTGAAACAATGATTGCCAGCTTCAGAACAAACCTAGCTAGTCCCAAAGATCCCAGCTATTCCCAAAGCTGATAAGTTTCAGAGATGAATGAAAAGTGTGGAAACTTCCTGTTAAATTATGGCTTGAGCAAAGGGGCTGCATGAGTTAATCATACCTTGGATTTATAGGTCAAGATATAATCCTCCAAACAGAACCAATAAGACTACCACTACATGGGAGCATGAAATGGATAAACTGCCACAGCAAGCCTCTTTCAGTGTACTTTTAAGGGCAGCAGGGATTCTTAAAGCATATGAGCAAGAGAAGCATCTATAATTTGTAATCACTATGTGCATAATTGTCTAAGGCATTTGCCACTTGAGAAATGAGCTGCAGTATTAAGTTCAAGGATTTGATCCAGTAAGGTATTTTAATCTGTCTATTCTACATTTCCTACATACATTGATATCACATGCCAGTCTTTAGCACAGTCATCTGAGGGGATCAATTGCTAACCACACTATACAGACCAGTACCAGAAAATGGCCAGATACAATGTTACCTTCCCCACTTTTTTTTTTTAAAGATGACAAATTAGATTTCAAGTTACCTAGTTTTTACAGATTTTTCTAAGGTTTATGGGCACATTCTATCCAATTATCCTATTTTTCAAGCTCTCATTATTGGAAGACAGTTATATCAGACTAAAAACAAAAATAAGAAGACTCAGATATGCAACCAGGGAATTTAAATACGTTTCCCTTTTCTAAAGCAAAAACGTTTAAAGGTTGCAGGGTATGATTTATTTAGTAAACAAACTGACTGATGCATCAGCTGATTAGCAGTGAGGGGCAATTTAAATCAGCTGAGGTCATGTTTTATTTTGTGATATATACACTTAATCATTTAACTGTACCGTTAATATACATGATTAAAGCCCCAAGTTCTATATACTTACTTTAGAATAAGTGCCTTTGAATTCAATGCACTGGAAAAAAATCTGTAGGCGGTTTACAGCCTAACTTACTCAAGCAATTTTAAAACTACAGTATTTTAAACATAGCTACAGAGTATGTCTTGAAACATGGCTTGTTCACTGATTTTACTTCTTGAAATTCCTTAGGTTTAGACAGAGTTCTTAATATTGCAGACGGAACAGAAAGCTAGTCATGTGATAATATCCTAAGCTTAATTCTCAACGGAATTAGAGGGTATTTTAAGCCTGAATGAACAGAGTTAAATTAGTGTACATGCCAGCTAAAGTTACTACGGTGCTGTCTTATCTGAAAAACTGACCTTCATGTGAACTTTCAGAAATGGAACACAAGGCTTTAAAGCTAAGGAAGCGAGATGAAAATGGCTTTGCTTTAAAACACTACTGTAATTCACGTTTCAGCAAACGCACATGCTAATTTGCTCTGGTGACACCATGGAGCCATGTTTGATGGGTTATGAATCTTAAAATCCAGTTTAGAAATAAAGTATTCTTTCCAAAGGTAATGTCACTGTACTTTAAAAATGAGGGGGCCAAAAGTAATACCTTGCCATTTGGGGCAATAGAAATTAGAAGCAGCTCAGGTCTTTCTACTGGCTCTGCTGAAAGACCAGCTCCACAGAGTTCTTCCTTCTTCTTGAACTGTTTCCAGCCAATCACTGTAAGAACTATTATTGAACATTAGTGACAGAGCTTACATGTTTCCCTTCTCCCTGGAAGACTTTTTGGCTGAAAAGCAGGGTCAAAAAATGCTTTAAAATGAACAATCCAAAATCCTGATGTTAACTTAGCATTCCCTTATCCATTAAGGGGCCATACAAACAACTGAAGATTATCTCCAAAAACCAAACCAAATACTACAAAGAATTCTGAAAGCACTTTTCATGACAACTTAAACTGTTTAAAAACATAAATCATGCTGGATCAGACTAAAGGCCTACCTAGCATTCTGTTCTCCCAGCATTCAACTGGATGCCCATGGGAATGCCACAAGTAGGACAGGAATATTGGCCCTGTTACTGAAGGTAAAATATAATGACTATCAGCTATTCAGGCCTTATCCATTGATATTTTGTGTTCTGATGAAATCTACACTTACTATATGCATAATGTCTGAATTTGGAAAAATGGATGACTGACTTCGTTCAACAA